AGGAATTTTGGATTGGGCAGAGGGGAGTGAGGAGTGGGCAGGGGTTGTGAGGGTGGAGAGGATGATGGAATGAGATGGACATTATTATCCTATATACATGTATGATTACACAATGGTATGACTCTGCACCATGTACAGCCAGAGGAATAAGAAGTTGTGAGGCTGTGGTTATGACTCAGTGGTAGAGCGCTTGCCTGGCACGTGTGAGACACTGGGTTTAATCCTCAGCACCATATAAAAATAAATAAATAAAATGAAGATATTGTGTCCATCTACAACAGAAACAAATATATATATATATATATATATAAAGAATTTGTGCTCCATTTGTGTACAATGTGTCAGATGAATTCTACTGTCATGTAGAACTAATTAGAACAAAGTTTGAAAAAAAATTAGTTGCCTATTTTATTGTTACTAAGTTTTTAGAAGTCCTTTATATAAACAGGATGAGATTTATACAATTTGTAGATTAAAATCTCTTCTCCTGGTCTGAGGCTTGCCTTTTCATCCTCTCAATAGAGTCTTTTAATGAAAATAAAAATGTTCTCAATTTTAAATTAAAAATTCCCACATTTTATGTTTAGTGTCCAATTTTGGACATATAATAGGTTCCCCCCCTTGTCCTTGCAAATAGGCAATATTAGCAAAAAACTTAAAAATGCACTGTAATTTGTCTTTGGGGTGGATCAGAATATGCTACTCTAAAATATGTCACTTTGGTGTAAGAATGATTTGGAGCTGCCAGGTGTGATGGTGCACGCCTGTAATCCTCTGGGATTGAGGCTTGAGAGGCTGAGGCAGGAGGACACAAGTTCAAAGCCAGTCTCAGCAACTTTGCGAGAGCCTAAGAAACTTAGTGAGACCCTGTCTCAAAATAAAAAATAAAAAGGGCTGGGGATGTGGCTCAGTGGTTAAGTGCCCCTGAGTTCAAACCCAATATCAAACAACAACAATGACAACAAAACATAATTATTATTTGGAGCTAAAGGCAATTGAGAATGAGCAGGTGCAGAAAGAATTCCTTGCTCTCCCCTGTTTAAATGTGGGCCATGAATTTCCATTGGAGGAAGCCTTCCACCACTCATACCAAACATTCCTTACAAAAATAACCCTGTCTTCCATTACTTCCCCCATGTACTTCCAGTCACATCCCCACAACTTATCCCTTGAAGCTGAAACCCTATTTTTTTCTGTTGAAAGGGCACCTAAACCTGAGTCTATCTGCTTCTTTGAGTTTCTTTGCCTTTTCATCCTCTCAATAGAGTCTTTTAATGAAAATAAAAATGAGTTTCACTTCTCTTTTGTGAACTCCCTTACACATAAATATTAATAAAAATTGTGTGACTTTTCTCCTGTTAACAGGAGAAAAAGAATTGTAAGTTTAATTCACAGCCCCCAGGTACGGACCCTATCAGGATAAAGAAAAAGTTTTTCCTCTTTGACATCTTGTGGGAGCACGATAATTAAGATGGTACAAGGTCTGGAAAGCATATTTTATAAAGGCTGGTTGAGGGGGATGTGACGTTAAGTCTATGGAAGAAAACACTACTGGTTTGGAGGATAAATGGGAGGGCTGTTAAGGAAAGGAAGAATAAAGGAAGGCAATTAGCATTTACTAAGCATACACTTAGCTCCTGACTCTGTGCTAGGAACATTAGAATAGTTAATCTTCAAGGAAACTGAAGCTCAGAAAAATAAAGCAGATTACCCAAATTACATAGTTAGAAAGTGATGGAATTTGGCTTCAAAAAGGTCTTCTGGTTATTTCCTTCCTAGCCACATATACCCAAAAGAATTGAACACTGGTACTCAATCAAATACTTATACGTGCATATTCATAGCATTATTCACATTAGCCAAAATTTGGAAATCACCCTAATGTTCATCAATGGATGAATGTTTGAAGAAATTGTGTTGTGCAAATATAGTGGAATGTTATTAAGCTTTAAAAATAGAATGAAATACTGGGGCTGGGGCTGGGCTCAGCAGTAGTACATTTGCCTGGCATGTGTGAGGCACTGGGTTCGATTCTCAGCACCACATATAAATAAAGGTCTATCAACAACTAAAAAATAAAAAAACTAACAAACTTAAAAAAAAGAATGAAAAACTGACGTTTGTTACAATTTGGATGAACTGTAAAAACACTAAGCTAATTGAAAAATGACAGAAAAAAGGTCACATGCTGTATAATACCATTTATATGAAACTTTCAGAATAGATAAATCCAATAGAGACAGAAAACAGACTGGTGGTTGTCAAGGATTATGGAGAGAGAAGAATGGGGAGCGATCGTTTAATGGGTCTGGGGTTTGAAAACAGTAGATGATGATAACGGTTGTGCAATATTGTCAATGTACTAAATATCGTTGAATTGTTCACATTAAAATGGTTAGTTTTGCTGGATGGTGTGGCTCCTACTGCAATTTCAGCAATTCAGAAGGCTAAGGCAGGAGTATTGCAAGTTGGAGGTCAGCCTGGGCAACTTAGTAAGACCCTGTCTCAAAATTAAAAAAATAAATAAATAAAAAGGGCTGGGGATGTAGTTCAATGGTAAAGTAACCTTGGGTCCAATCTCCAGTATCACAATAGGAAAAAAAAAGCTAATTTTATATGATCCGAATTTTTTGAAAAATAAGTTGTTCTTGCTCCAAGTATACTGTTTTCTTCATTAAGACCAGCTGCTTCCCTGGGGCAGTAGAAGGAGGAAAGTACAATTTGGTTTAGTAGAAAAAAGAACTTTCATACAGTTATACAGTAGTGTAATAAGCTGACTTGTGTTGCATACTAACACTAGAAGTATTCCAGTACGGCGTAGACAACTGTTTATAATATTGTAGAATGAGCCTCTAAGTTTCCTTTTAATGATTAGATTCCATAATTCTATCCTCTTTTATAGTTTATAACTTAGAGCAGAATTCAAGCATAACACAAGAAAATATGTAATGTCAAATACTGGTCTTTGTGATAGAGGCTACAAATAATACAGGGCAATTTATAAGAGAAATGACAAACTTTGGTAAATGTGCATTTTTTAAATATTATAGCTTTATAGAATATTAAAAACAAACTATGAAAGAAACCAAACTGCAGATGCATTAAAGTGTGGCATGTGTTTATAACGTTGCTTTTGCAAATGCTGTTTTATTCACTTATTGTGGAACTTTTAAAATAAGTCATTTAAAAACAAAGCTCCTTTTAACAAAGTTTACACAGGTGGTCATGGGATTAGCTGGTGGTGGCAGTAACTGAGGAGGCTTAAAGTAGTCTTGCAGAAAGCTAAGGTAGTGATTTGCCCAGAGGGAAGGCCATAATTCTACAGGGCTTAGTCTACTGGATGTGATGGATAAGCTCAGGCCATAGCTGCACACAAGTCAGAATATAGTCCTTCCAGGTAAGGAGGACTCTAAGGTACAACCCTCCTTGTTTGGCTGAAAGGTAGTGCTCTGTGGAGATGTAAATGAAAGGGAATACACATTTTGAAATGTGTGCATGTTTCTTCTCTCCTTCAGTACTGGAGATTGATCCAGGAGAGTGCTCTACCACTAAGCTACATCTTCAGCCCTTTTTATTTTTTTTCAGACAGGGTCTTGCTAAGGTTGCCAAGGCTGGCTTTGAACTTGAGATCCTCCTGCCTCAGCCTCCCAAATCACTGGGATCACAGGCGTGTGCCGCCATGATGGCTTTTTTACCTCTTATTTCAATTAAATTTCCAAATTTAACAAAGCCTGGATTCTGAAGTTGGTTCTGAGTTCAAATTTTAGTTCTACCACTTACCAAATTAACAAATCATTTTTTTGGCCTCATTTTTTCATCTGTCAGGGAAAATACTGGTAAGTATCTTATAGGGTGGTTGTGCACATAAAAAGATCTTAGCATCACCTCTGGTACATGTAAGCACTCACGCACAGTATTAGCTATTATTATCATGTGCTGCTTGAAGAAATTTTTAGATGGAAAAAATTTTTTAAAAATGTGAATTTTAAATGAAACAAAAAATCCTCTTGGAACAAAGGAATTCCAAACATTTGCTTATTCACAAATAATCTTTTAGGTCCAGCTGCCTTGAAGCAACCCAAGTCTACCTATAACATAAACCACAATATATTATATAGTTGTTGCCTACTCTCCCGTGATTGGGAAATCCACGTGAGAGGCTCAAAAACAGGTGTGGCCTGTGGGCTAACGGACTCCCCCAGAGGGCTTTGCGGTTATACTTTTCCAGAGGCCTTAGGGACAGAAGTCTGAAGCTGTCATAGGCCTTCATTTTCTGGCAGATCTTGAGGTGCGGATTAACTGGGACTCCCCCATTAGCATTTCTCCTCTTCAGATTCTTTTCCTTTAACTGTCTGTGGCCCCTCTTCAGTGTCCAAATTGGTTTTAAGTTTCTGTTTAAACCTTGAGCTTCAAGTACAGGGCCTGTGAATAATTTTTCAGTCACTAATGTCTGAAGTTCAGTGGGCACTGAGATTTATTTGCGGCCCTGATCTTTCTTTCCCAGCCCTGGTACCTCACTGAATTCCGCCCCATTCCTGTTCCTCGATTTTCCCATTTTTGTTGTAAATCTTTTGCCATGCCTCTTTACATTCCCACCTTTTTCGTACTTTGATCAAGCAGTATGTCCCCTCTCGCGCCCCGCCCATCATTTCTCACGTCCAGTCCCTGTCGTCTGCCCCTCCCCTGTTCTTCAACCTCCTTGTAACAGCAGGGTGGGTAACGCTGTCACAGGGTGATGCTTCTGCTCCGCTGGCATGCACGTCAACTTCAGAAGCCACAGAATTCTCACGCCCTAGCTCCCTTCCCCTATATTTCCTGAAAGTCTCGCTGTCCCCTCTGGCCCTTTGTTCTCGCATCCTTCCCGACTACTGCCGCCTCTTGATCGCTACTGCTTCGGCCTCTTATTTCGCGCCTTCTTTTTTAGGCTTGGAGGAGGCGGAGTTGGAATGGCTGCGCCACCGTTGCCGAGGCAACGCCTTGGTTACTTCCGTCGGTGTCAATGCTTCCGGGTTGGCGATGCAGTGGCGTTTCTGACTGTGGGAGCCTCGGCTTCCCAGTCGTCTGATGAGCCGGAGCAGGTGAGGGGGAGCTCCTGGACTTCCAGGCTGGGGAGCGGGGCTGGGCCGCGCCAGGCCGCGCGGGGCCGGGCTGGCCTGGTTCCCGGCCTGGGAGGGGCTTAACGGTCCTTTGGTCTCTCTCTCCCCTCAGCCGAGTCCCTTCCCTGTCTTTCACTCTTCTGGCATCGGTGGTTTTACTTCTTCGATTGAACCCTGCTTCCTCGACCCCCCTGGGAGGCCGCCTCCTTCAGGCGCCTCCCTTCTCTCCACGAACTCGCTCTGACAGCTGAGGAACTGGCAAGATCCTGCTACCCAGAGGGTGAATGGGTATCTTTCCTGGAATAATCCTAATTTTTCTAAGGGTGAAGTTTGCAACGGCGGCCGTGATTGTAAGCGGAGTAAGCAAACACCTCCATTGTATTAGTGTGAGGGATGCTGTTGAAAGATGGTCCCCTTCAGTTTCTACCTCCTGCCACTCCTGAGGTCAAGGCATTGAAGGCATCTATTAAAATGCAGTTCAGTTACTTGATTGGGATGACAGCTTGTCAACATGAATTAATATCTTAGACTCGGTAACATCAGGGAAATTTATAGTTTTCTGTTGGTGATTCTTTGACTCTCCCCCCCCCCCCACCTTCCGCTCCTCAGGCTAGAGTGGTTGTGAACTCTTCCTTCATCTTCATTCCGTACACCATTAAGTACCTTTTGTCCCCATTTCAGAACTTTATCTCTAAGCTCACTGCCTGTAAGCATCTTTCTCTTCTTTACTTCACACCATCCTAAGACAGTCTCCCTGCCTCTGCTGTTTGTAATCCACTGTGCTTGCTGCAACCCTAGTAGGTTTACTAAAAATATGGGTTTTTCTCAAGTCGCTTTCCTGTTAAAAAATTTAATTGTCCTCTCCACACCTTGGTTTTTAAGCCTTTAAATACAACCTGCTCCTTCCACTTGTTTCAGCCAACAAGTGAATTCTTTATTCCAGATGGAACTTTCATTTCCTTCTCAGAACAAACCATATTGATGTCTACCTCCACATGCTATGTTTTTTTCCCCACATGTGTGTCTCTGTTCATCTTGTCCCCTCTCCCACCCTTTCCCTTATCTGCCCCTATCCGGATTCAACCTGCACTCTGTCAAGGCCCAACTTAAGTTCTGTCACCTCCATAAGCTTTTTCAAATTATTTAAACTGTGTGGATTGTCTCCTTTTCCATGTTCCTCTTGCTTTTATAAGATTGTACTACATAGTGTAGCACTTAATTTTTCTCTAATCAAGTTTTTTTTCCTACCACATTCTAAGCTCTTAAAAGGCAAGTACTCTATTTAATACAACTTTTATCCCTGCCCCATCTCCTTGATTATTCAAGAAAGATACATTAAGTGGTAAATATTGCCTTGGTGTTAGAACAAATTTCTTTTATAAAAAATGTGATGATTATACCCTTAGCACATTATAGGTTTGAGCACTTAGTATGACTTCAAAAAATATATGTTGGCTTCCCATTGTTACCTTCTCAGTCTTAGATTCTCCATTATCTTCTTTTTCTTAAAGGAAAAAGCAGGAAAGTCACCCAGAGTTTCCTGATCAGATCTTTGGAGTATCGTAGGGCTATGTAACTAGTATTCTGGGACATGTTTATTGGTACTTGTTAGGTTATCAGATTTTCCTTAGATCTTTATAATACATATATGCAGATTTAAACACAATTTTCATTGGCTTCTTTATATAATAAAATATTTAGAGTATTATGTTTCTATTTTAATTAAGATATGACTTCTGTCTTTTTACACATATCTGGGGTTAGCCTCATCTGTCAAAATAATTTAAGAGGATTTGGGGTATATTTTACACAAGTAATTCTCTACAAGAAAAGAAAGGGAAGAAGATTTTTCTGTAGAAAATATTCGATGATTAGGGCAGCATCATGTACAGGGTGTGTAGCATTGGCCAGGTGCAGAAGTTACCTCTCTGTTTTCCCCTGTAATTTTTTTTTTTTTTTTGGTAGCAAGGATTCAACCCAGGGATGCTTACCCACTGAGCCTCACCCCCCCTTTTTTTTAGACGAGATTTTTTTTTGATGGACCCAATATCTTTTTGTTTGTTTATTTATTTATTTTTATGTGGTGCTGAGGATCAAACCCAGGGCCTCACGCATGTGAAGCAAGCACCCTACCACTGAGCTACAACCTCAGCCCTCCCCAGCCCTTTTTTTATTTTTTATTTTGAGACAGGGTCTTAATAAGTTGCTAAGGGCCTCTCTCAGTTGCTGAGGCCAACTTTGAATTTGTGATCCTCCTGCCTCAGTCTCCCAAGCCTCTGGGATTATAGACATGTGCCATTGTGCCTGGCTGTAATCTTTTATATATAGGCTGCATATATAGCTAAATGATGTCACACTGAGAAAACAACTGGGTTTATATCAAATTCTGCACAAGCTCTTCTGAGAGTTATAAAAAGTGCCATGAGGTATGGTATCTGCCTTCATGATCTTACCTAGTTAAGAGAAGAAATAACATGGGGCAACTAGAAGATAAACCCAATGCTACTCATTATTTTTATGCCTGGATTTAAGATATAAATGAAGTTTCAACAAGTATTTGTAGGATAGGTGTGACATAACATGTGTCCATATATACAGCCTTATGTGAAAAGACTCAGAGGTATCAGCTGACAGTTAATGATTTCCATAGTGTGATAGGGCTCCCTAAAAAGCAACTTAAATTTTCAACTATCGTAATTAAAGTATAATATACAGAATTAAGAAAATGATCAGGAATATTTAGCTTGAGAAAGATAAGATACAGGAGAACATGATTGTTATCTTTAAGTATTTGAAGGATTCCCTCAGGAAAAAAGAATACATTTGTTCAATATTGCCTCCAAAGACTCAGTGAAAATAATTTGAGAAAGAAAAACTTTTGTCCTACTATGAGGAAATACTGTCTAAAATCAGATCTAATCAAAGATGTTACTGTATTTCTTCATAAGATAGCATGGGAGTCAAAGAGGTTTTACTGTCATATATGAATTGGGAGGTGCTGGTAGAGGCAGTGTAGGAACTGACCACACTTGGATTTCATGAACCAATAAAATTTAAATCTAAGCATGGGGAGAGGCCATAAATACAGGGCAGTCAAGCTTATTTTGCCACATAAAGACACTAAACAATATCAACTACCAATTAATATTTTGTACAAGAAAGGTGATATTTTTAATGTTCCAGGAGTAAGAAGAATATGATCTGTTTAATAATAGTCTTTGAGGTTAAATAAATTTGGCAGGAAAAAACCCCTAGATACCCTTATTTGCGAAAACTAGGGAACTCCTGGGCTAACTGGCTTAAGATTTGGTTCATTCTATGGCTCTGCTCCTACCTTATTAAAAGGATGGATAGCAGGTAGTAAAGTTCTGAGAGAGGCTTTTTCTGTAATAAGAAGAGTTAAAAGAAATTGTAAAGATGGTTTTGGGAAGAAGCATAGCAGCTGTCTGAAACATTTAAGACTATTCTTGGGACTCTCTAAATTGGTCAATAGTGAATTTTTTCCCCACAAACTGAGACCATATATGTCATGTTTTACTATCAATTCTAATCTTAAAATGCAGGCATAGATAAAAATGTTGATATGGTAGTGCTTAGTATTTAAGATTTATTTCAAACTGCAGCTGATATTTCAAACATCTAACCCTACTTTGCTCATTAGAATTCCTTTCAATAACTTTCCTCTAATAGGGTTATCTACTCTAGACTCTATGTGGTATGCTTGAAGTTTCCATAATTTTTGTGGACTGTAACTAAAACATTCATCTGTATGTTTGCTATCTTACCTGGAAAATTATTCTTTGCTTAGTTACAAAGAATTTCTTATGTGGAAAGAAAGCAAAACCTTATCTCCTCTAAAAAGGGACGGTGACTCAAAGGTGCTAACCCTAGATTGGCATTGGATGGGGGTGGCCAGCAACTATTATCTATTAAAATGTAAAATTGGATACATATATAATAATGATAATAATTAGCTAATAGTTATTGAGCTATGTGCCAGGTACTTTTCTAGGTTTGTAACATATATAATTGTCACAACAACCTTATGATATAGTTTTTATTATTCACATTTTATAGTTTGGAAGATGGAGGCACAGAAAGGTTGAATAATCTACTCAAAGTCACAGAAATAGTGGTGGAGTCAGGATTTTAGGTAACCTGATTTTAGAGTCTTTCTTCCTGACTGTAAACCACTTGAAGCTGCTTTTGAAATTCAGAAGTATACACACTATATAGCTCTGAAAAACAAGTATTTAAAGGAAATCTGAGAGTCACAGCTAAGAAAGATATTACTGTGAGCTAAACCAGAACTTTGCAGGTGATATCCAGAGCAGTACTTCTTAGGTGTAGAAACGTTAGCATTATTTGGGAGCTTGCAAATTCTCATGGCCAGACCCAGACCACCAAACAGAAACTGTCGGGGAGAGGCCCAGCGGTCCATGTTTTAATACACTTTCTAGATGATTCTGGTACATGCTAAAATTTGAACACTACTGGTCTAGATGCCAGAGCTGGGGAAAAAATCAAATCCAAGAGAGAGGAGCTGAGAATGGCACAAATAGAAAAGAAAGCTGAAAAGATTGAAGATGACAGGTCTGACAGGTGGGATGGAGAAAGAGGGGGATAGAAAAAGAACATATTATTAAAGAACTAGAGTATAAAAGAACAGAGTTTGTACGAATGTTTTAAAAGGCCAGGGGGGAGGGAAAGAGTAGGCCCACTAGAAGGATATATGTTCAATGTCAGAAGAGAGAGAGTGAGCTGTATTGCTGTCATTCCTCTGGGAGCCAGAAGGAAGATGAAGAGGCTTAGCTCAGCCTGGTCCTAGTCAGGGAAGCTAGTTATATGTAGCTAGACGTATCTCTTGGACAAACTCAGACCCTAAAGTTTAGTGGAGAGATGAAAGGACTGAGAACATGAGAGGGTAGTGAGCCCGTGCTTTGTACCTGAATCAAGCTAACTAAATACCATGAACTGCTTTTATGAGATGCCTCAGCCTATATAATTTGAATTCTAGTTTCCTTCACTTGTTAATTGTTTAGTTGAATGTCTAAGTTGGGTATGCTGGATGGACTAAAGTCTCTCTTTGGGTGGGGATGAATAATTACACTAAAGAAAGTAGAGAGAATGAGGACATAGGTTGATATTTGAGTGAATTACACACCTATCCCAATAAAGAACAAATTCATGATTATCCAGCACATAAAATAAGATCTGCCATTTAGTGTCATTTACTTGGTGGGGTTTTCCCTTTACAATAGTTTTATCTGACAGTTTTGTTGATCTAATACACATGATCAAATGCTAACAAGTACTCCTCACTTTTGTGCCTTGTTCTGATTTGTCTTTATTTTTAGCACCAGAAAAGTGCCACTGTAAGCCATGAGATGTCTGGTCTGAATTGGAAACCCTTTGTATATGGCGGCCTTGCCTCTATTGTTGCTGAGTTTGGTAAGAATGTGAAAAAATGACAAGTTTGCATTTTATGCTATAGATAGTGGTATATGGTGTCAGTTATTTATTTTTCTGGTAAAAACTAGAGAGAAAATAAAAAGCTTTCCCTCTTTGTTTTAAAAATTGTTGTCTCAAAGCCCTCAAGAAATATTTCTGAGGAAGTACTACTAATGGTATGGCAAATGAAGTTAAGAAAACTCAAACTTTGGGAAGCTTTTTTGATAGTTTAATGTTTTGCTAATTTTCTAGGCTTAAATAATATATATGAACATATAGAAGGAGTTGGATGTGATAGGTGTTTTTGCAAGTACCCTAGCTTTTCTTTCAAACTGGTATTCTATTTGAGAAGAAAATGAACAAGATTGAAAAATATTCTTCTCTGTTTAATTTTAGTTTTGAAATATTTTTAGGTTTTAATTTTTCTTTTTTTCTTTCTGTCTTTCTTTTGGATTGAACCCAGGGACACTTGACTACTAAGCTGCATCCCCAGTCCTTTTTAGGGTCTCGACAAGTTTCCATGGCTGGTCTTGAACTTGCGATTCTCATGCTTCAGCCTCCAGAGTAGCTGGGATTAAAAGGATGTGCCACCATGCCCAGTCTAGACTGTGATTTTTAATCTTCCATATTTCCCCTTTCCTCTACCATTCATAAGTGACTATGGTCTACCAGTCCTTGCTGGCTTTCTTAGTAGATGCTGTGATGTCCAAGTCAAAAGTGAACAGAATTACATAATCACCTTGTTAGATTTAGATCTTTAAATATTCCTTGAAAATGTATTTTGTCAATATAATGTGACATTAAAAAAAGAGGTTTGGTTGAAGAAATTTCTCCCCTAAGTCCTCTGCTGGTATCAGTTCAGAATTACCTAAGAAACCAGGATGAGTAGAACATAATAGGACTTTACCATTATCTTTTATAATATTGAGGAGCTGTTTATTTCTTATAACCATATAAAAGAAAAAACTAACAAAAATTTGTAGTTGTTTATAAGAGCACCCGAAGTAGTAAGACCATGCTTTCCTGTGTTTGTAAAAATTTGAGATAGTATGAGGGAAAGCTAGAGAGACTTGAAGTGGGAGGGGGTGGGAAAAAGAGACTGATAAGTGGCATATGCATGGTACAGATGAAATTAAAGCAACAGTTATTTTTTACAGTGTCAAATGTACTATGTGTCAAATTGTGTTGCATAGATATAATATAGTACATTTCACTTTACCACATACAACTCTTGTCCTCTGGCAATGGCATTCTAATAGAGATCTTTTGTATGTTGTTGTTGCTATTACTATTATTTTACAGTGCTGGGGATGGAACTAAGGGCCTTGTGCATGCTAGGCAAGTGCTGTACCACTGAGCTATACACCCAGCCCTTGTATGTATTACAAAAAAACTCTGTCTTATGTTTCAGATATTGTCATTGCCTTATATTTAGCCAAAACTTAACTGTGACTCCTTGGAGACACTTATAAGTGAGTGTGTTCCTTTGTAGGAACTTTCCCTGTGGACCTTACCAAAACACGACTTCAAGTCCAAGGCCAAAGCATCGATGTCCGTTTCAAAGAGATAAAATATAGAGGGATGTTTCATGCCCTGTTCCGAATCTATAAAGAAGAAGGTGTATTGGCTCTGTATTCAGGGTAAGGCTGGATTCCTTCCTTACATCATGAACAGAAATGCTTTTTAAAGAGGCCAAGGCTGGATGTGATGGCACATGTCTCTAATCCCAGTGGCTTGGGAGGCTAAAGCAGGAGCATCACACATTCAAAGCCAGTCTCAGCAACTTAGCAAGACCCTGTCTCAAAATAAAAAAAAAAAAAATTAAAAAGGGCTGGGATATGGCTCAGTGGTCAAGCCCCTCTGGGCACAATTCCTGGTGCCATAAGCAAAGAAACAAATAAATAAACAGGCCAAGTATTTCAACTCTATAGAAGTTTGTGCCCTTTGTATTCACCATTCAACTTGTAATTCTGTGTTGATGGGCCTGTTTATATCTCATCTGCTTTAAGATGTGAGCTTTGGAGTTTGTGTTTTTCCAGCTGTAAGCAATATATGTTAAAATGGACATATAATTGCAGATAGGCTTTCTCCTGGTTTCTTGAGACTCATCCATAGCTGTTATTAATAGCAGCACCAATTAACCACAAATATTCTTGTGATACTTTTCCTGAGTTGGCAAATGCTGACTTTCTTTAAAATTTTCCTTTTTAAGAAAATATTATTCTGGTAGCTTAAACAAAAATGCAGAATGAGAGAGGGAGACTTATCTCTTTTGGTCACCTTTTGATTAGCCATCAGTTTGAGATTTTGTTTTTGGCCACTTTGTAGCTTATCTGCTAAACAGTATCCTAGGCCATTCTAAATTTAGGCTATCAGTTTATTGCTCAGAATGGAAATTAGTTTTATTATTAACCTATGTTAGCTTTATCTTAAAAATAATTTTCTTGGAGAAAAAAAAATCAAGTCATTCTTCTGAAGCAGGTGATTCATGGATCATCTGTTTTAACTTGTTCTTTCTCAGCATGGATAATCACAAGATTTTTTCTGATAACAAGCAATAAAACCAGAAATATGCATATTTAGTCATAATTTTTTATTCCTAACCATTTAAGCTGTTGCTATTTATACCTCCTAAAGTGCAGTTCTACAATTTGGAGAATCTCAAAGGAGGTATAAGTGAAAATGTCTCCAGTTTATGAGCAGAACTTAAATAGGCTGAGATTTTGGTTTTAGTACCTCCTTGTTGATAAGATTAAAGATGTATCTGCAAGTATTAGGAAGTATAGGTGGATTTTAAAAAATCTTTATAGTGGATAATAGTATATAATTCTTTTTGTACATTTCTGGATTGTTTTCTAATGTTTTCTTAAAGATTTTTGCATCTGAGTTCATGAGAGATATTGGTCTGTAGTTTTTATTTTCTGTACATTTTTGACTGGTTTTGGTATTAGGGTAATACTAACCAAAAGGAGTTGACAAGCATTCCCTTTTCTATTTTCTGGAAGAGATTGTGTAAGATTGGTGTTAATTCTTTAAATGTTTGGTAGAATTCCCTGGTAAAATTATCTGGTCCTGGAGATTTCTTCTTTTGGGAACTTTTAAGTTATGGATTCAAATTCTTTAATGCGGTCTTAGTTTGGCCTGTTATAACAAGGTACCATAGATTATAAACAACAGAAAATTTTTTCCATAGTTCTTGAGGTTGAGTTCTGGTGAATTCTCTCTTCTAGGCTGCCAACTTCTTGTATCTTCATTTGACATAAAGAGCTAGTGCTCTCTGGGGTCCTTTTTATAAGGGCAATAATCCCATTGCTTCATTCTTGTGACCTAATTACTTCCCAAAGGTCCTGTTTCCTCATACTACCATGTTGAGTTTAGGATTTTAACATGTGCCTTTTGTTGGAGGGATGATACAAACATTTAGTCCATTGAAATGGTTATAATACTTACTCGGATTTCAATTTTATCTTAATTAAGCTTTGGCAATTTGTGGTTTTCAAAGAATCCATTTCTTCTAAGTTGTTGAATTTATGAGCGTGAAGTTATCTTTGGAATGGTTGCAGGATTTATAGAACTATTCCATTTTATTCCTGATATTGGGGATTTGTATCTTCTATATCTTTCTGCTACAAATTTATTAATTTTATGTATTTTTTCAAAGAGCCAACTTTTTATTTCATTGATTTTTCTGTTTTCATTCTTCTCTCTGCCTCTCTTTCTTTCTCTCTCTCTCCTTTTTCTTTCTTTCCCTCCCGCTCCCCACCTTCCTTTCTTTCTCCCAAGGGATTAAGCCCAGAGTGTTTAAAGACTGAGCTATATCCCTGGCCCTTTTTATTCTATTTTATGTTTTTATTCTTGAGACAGGGTCTTGCTAAGTTGTTTCAGGCCTTGATAGGTTTCTGAGGCTGGCTTCAGACTTGTGATCTTCTTGACTCAGACTCCCGAGCCACTGGGATTATAAGTGTATGCCACTATGCCCAGCTGTATTTTCAATTTCAATGATTTATGGTTTTTTTTTTTTTTTAAATTTTCTTCATTCTGCTAGTGTTAGGTTAATTTTCTTCTTCCATTTTTAGTTTCTTGAGGTAGAAACTTAAATTATTGATTTGAGACTTTCCCTGCTTTCTGATGTAAGTATTTTGTGTTATAAATTTCCCTCAGTAATACTTTGGGCTGCCTCCCATATATTTTAATAGATTGAATTTTGATTTTCAGTCAGATCTGTTTTTAAAATTTCCTTTGAGACTTTCTCTAACCAATAGATTATTTAGAAGTGTGTTGTTTAATTTCCAAGTGTTTGAATATTTCCTTAATGATTTCTAGTTTGATTCTATTATTGTCAGAATACACTTTATATGATTTTAGTTTTTTAAATTTGTTGGTGTTTGTTATATGATCTAGAATGTTTACTGCCTTGGTCAATGTCTCATGGGTGCTTGAAAAAATACATATTCTGTTGTTTTGAGTTGAAATGAGATGGGTAACAGAAATGAGTTGGCTGATATGTATAATCTGCAAATGCATGTTGAGTAAAATTAACTTTTCTTTGTTTTGGGAAGGATTGCTCCTGCATTACTAAGACAGGCATCATATGGCACCATTAAAATCGGGATTTACCAAAGCTTGAAGCGATTATTTGTAGAACGTTTAGAAGGTCAGTATACTCAACTCTCTTTTGAGGTGATCCTCAGAGGGATTATTGAAATCATGATTAGTGTGAAATGTTCATCACATGATGCCTCAGAACGGAGAACTATCACTTCAAGGACAAATGAGCTTGTATTGATTTGGGATAAATCCTTGCAAAGGTGATATATGTGTTAGAGGGACCAGCCATTCAAATTTGTCCTTTTAAAATAATAATAATAATAATAATAATAATAATAATAATAATAATAATAATAAAAATTCTGGTCATCTCTGAGGAAGCATGGAACAATTATGTCCAGATATTGATGCTATCCTCATCAATAAGAGGATTTCATAAGGCATTTCAAGGTGACAATTTTGATAAGCTTTTGCTAGTTAAATTTAAGGCTATTGTTTTCTAGATTGTGATGTACTTATGGCCACCTTACTCACATTCAGAATTATTGTATGTCTCTCTATTTGCTGCTGCATCATTTCCAGCCTGATATGTACTAAATGGTTATTTTACCACAGGCCAGGGGCAGTTGGATGGTTGGGAACAGCTGGAGAGACTTTCGGTTAGTAATGTCCTTTGAATCACTTTTTTGTCCTAAACCAACTTTTTCTGGAACCTCCTCTTTGGGGGATCCTGAAGGATTTCCTTCCACCTCTTCCTAAAATAATTTCCTTTCATAGATACTTCACTTGGGTTTACTTAGTTTCTAGTCGTAGGCTCTTCATGGTGGGAAGGAGGGATCAAGAAGTATTTTTTGCTGTAGAATGATGTTCTGTGGTTTCTATTCCTTTTTTCAGTTAAGAAATTTAATTCTGAATTATTGCTTTTGGGACTAGGGTTATAGGTCAGTAGTACAGTGCTTGTCTAGCATGCATGAGGCCCTGGGTTTGATTCCCAGCACTATAAAAATTAAAATAAAATGAGTAAATATATAAATTATTTTTTACATTTGACTACAGAACCTTTCTGTAGACAAATAGAAGCTTGTAGTGATTTAAGACCAGTCCAAATCAATGTTTAGATAACTTTTTCTCTACTACATGTAAGATTTTATCTTTTTACAATCATTTCCTGAATGTTTTGCATTGATGACTGTCCATAAGAAGACTTAGAAAACATATACTTTAATTTGAAATGATTGAAGGGGAAAAAACCACATTCTAAATTCATATGGGTTATGATAATTATGTAGAAGAATAGGTAGGGCATGTTTCAGTGTCCTTTTAGAAATACTGATTTTTTTTTGTAGAAATGATGATTTATATTTTATAATTTTATGTTTGGTACTGATTTGGGATCTAGAAATATTTGAGTTTCTTTATTTTCATAAACTTTGTAGTTCGTTTCTAAAGTCATTTCTCTAAGATTCTCTTCCTCTGATAGCTCAGTATTCTCTTTTCAGAACTTAGTGCCTAATAAAAGCAGACCCTTTTTAAAATCCTTTTTACAGATGAAACTCTTCTAATTAATATGATCTGTGGGGTGGTGTCAGGAGTGATATCTTCCACTATAGCCAATCCCACCGATGTTCTAAAGGTAAGAGAGATGTCTGCAGTATGCTTTGAAAAGAGTACAAGCTTAAGACAAATTTGGGTCCATATTCCCACTCTGTCCATTGCTAGCTGTAAAACGTTGGATAATCACCTAATTGCATTAAACCTCACTCAGTTTCCTCATTTGTAAAATGAAGATACTGCAGTGGTTAGGCATTGTTAAGAATTCAATATAACATATGACAACTGCCTGAAACTGTACTTGGTAGCAGATGCTCAATAAATAGTAGTCTATTTATTATGATATGCATTACCCATTGGTCTTTAAACAGGGGCATACAACCCCCTCTAGGATATTTTCAAGGACTGTGTAGTTTTAAAGAAATCAATATCCAGATCTCTTACTTCCATTTGTATTCTTTCCTAAAACTGGTCTGAGAATGAATCTGCATTTCTAATAGCACTTTTCCCATTTTACAAAAGAAAGGCATATCCCTCCTTACCCATTCCAAATCTTCATATGGTGTGTTGATCTGTGGTGTAACCTGAGATATCAAACAAAGGGATGAATTGAGATAACAGTTTTTTAGAGAAGCCTCTTTTAATTACTATGTAGGTTATCTGTTTCTGTCTTTCCCTGTCTTATCTGTATTTCTCTTAAGGGTGAGATTTGACTTTTAAAAATGCTATATTTTGGCCTGTTTTGGGATATACTGAATTTGGAACCACAATGCTATTATGGTTTAGTGGTACTAATTTGTTAAGAATATAATTGGATTTTATCACATCATATAAAGAAACATTTTAATATCAATCTAAAGCTCAAAATGGTAAATATTTTCTGTTTATTAATTTATTTAAATTTATGATTAAAGCACTAAATATATGATTGAAATATGTAACAGGATCCCAAGTTTTTGTTTTTGATGCTGGGAATTGAACTCAAGGGCTGTACCACTGAGCTATATCCCTGGTCTTTTTTTTCTTTTTACTTTTGAGATAAAGTCTTGCTTAGTTGCCCAGGCTGACCTTGAACTTGTGATCCTTCTGCCTCAGCTTCCCAAGTAGCTGGAATTACCAGTGTGTGTCCAGTGAGAATTTCAAGTTTTAAGAAATTATTTTAGGGGGAATGTGAGAAAAAAGTAAAAAGACACATGCTTTATTTATTTCAGCATTGGCAAATCCACAAGTACAAATTATTGCAATTCAGAGAATTTGAACTGAGAGGGTAACTTGTAAAATAGCACACATGAAAGAAACCACTAGTAGTTGGCAGAAAGATATGAAATCATTTTTCTTCTTTAAAATGAGACTAATTTAGCTTTAAAATGTTTATATCACCTAAGATTTATAGAAAAAGTATGAAAAGAATTGACTATATCCTAGAACTCTAGAATATTTATAATATACTTGTAAGAATGTGCTTTTCAAGAAAAGTATACTTAACTCCCTGAAACTACCTTTCTTATCCATCTGGATCTTAGACTTAATCACCTAAGTGATTTGCTTCAATTTCCTATTCCTCTGATCTCTCTTGCAAAATTACAACTGTTGACCAATGCTGCAGTCTGCATTTTCCTTTCTTATACTTTGATAGGACTGAGTATTACCAGTATTGTTTGTGGGCTAAATCTGACTACTGTCTGGGGTGAAGTCACAATTTTAGATTGTGACCTTACCTATGTGATTTATAACATGATTGAAATGTTCAGTCCTTTCATTTATTCTGGGACAGTTCTTTTTCCGGTCTTCAAGGGCATTTTAAATCTTCACGCCTTACTTTTATTTCATCATTCCTCTTTCTTTCAGCAGACAACTCTACCTCCTATGGCCTCACCTTCTACCTGTTCTTGCCTTTCTACCCATCACTTATAAATCTATTTACATTTATACCTGTCTGTACCTTGTCTCTACTATAGATGTTCTCAAAATGTGGTTCTCCAGATGTGCAACATCAGCATTACTGGGAGCTCATTAGAAATGCAAATTCTTTTTTAAAAATTTTTTTAGATGTTGATGGACCTTTATTGTATTCATTTATTTATATGGGTGCTGAGAATCGGAACCCAGTGCCTCACACATGCTGGGCAAGTGCTCTACCACTGAGCCACAACTCCAGCCTTAGAAATGCAAATTCTTGAGCCCCACTCCATACTTACTGAATCAGAAAGGATGGAATGGGGCCCAGCAGTCTGTTTATGACGAGCCCTCCAGGTTATTATGATATACTATCAAGCTTAGAAACCATGACTTTACATTTACTTCTGTTTCATCAAGGACCATTCTGTATCATTTAATCTCTCTTTTTTTGCAGTGCTATGGATTGAACCCAGGGCTTCATGCATGTTAGGGAGACAGGCATTCTACCACTACACGGTATCCCCAGCCCATTTATCCACTTTCTTATCTTTATTGGTTGGCTCCCTTCGAATGATAAATATGTTCAAGTCTTTCCTAAAGTACTTTTTTCTGACCCTCTGACCTCCTTAAGACACCACCTTCTCTTTTCTGTTCTGCTTCTTGCTTGAAACTACTTTCCACATAACTGGGTGCAGTGGTGCATACCTGTAATCCTGGTAACTTGGGAGGCTGAGGCAGGAGGATCACAAGTTCAAGGTCAACACTTTAATGAGACCCTCAGTAATTTAGTGAGACACTGTCTCAAAATTAAAAAAGGACTGGGAATAATACAGTTCAGTGATAAAGCACCTCTGGATTTAACTTCCAATACCAAAAAGAAACTACTCCCCAGGTTCAAGTAGTATAGTCTATATTATCCATTCCATTTTAGTTCTCAACCTATTTTGATTAATTTCTCTGGGAATTTCTGCTTTGATTTTGACTCTTCTCCTAGGTTTCATACATTTTGGTTTCATATGTAGGCTTATTTTTCCTATATGCACCTAAAATGTTTCTCTTCTCTATGCAAGTTTATATCATTTCTCCTCTATAATCTTTCTCTGGTTGGTCTTTTTCATTTTCTAAGACTTTAGCTCTCTGGGGCTGGGTTGTGGCTCAGTGGTAGAGCGCTTGCCTAGCTTGTGCAAGGCCCTGGGTTCGATCCTCAGCACCACATAAAAATAAAGATATAAAAAAATACTTTAGCTCTCACTATAACAAAGAAATTCAAAATGCATGGCCTCAAATAACATATGAGTTTATTTCTCTCTCACGTAACCATCTAGAGGACAATAATTTATGCTGGTGGGTAGTCCTATGGTGCAATCAATCATCCAGGACCCAGGTTCATCCAATTTTGTTGCATTGCCATCATCTAGAGCATGGTTGGCAAACTGTTTGTGGGCTAAATCTGACTAATGTCTGTGTAAATAAGTTTTGTTGGAACACAGCCACCCCATTTGTTTCTGTATGTCTATGGTTGCTTTTGCTTTAGAACTGCTTAGTCAGGACAGAGGCCATAGGCCTTACAAAGCCTAATTTATGTACTGTATGGCCCTTTTCAGAAAAAAGTTTGCTAACCCCTGTCCTATGGTATTTTTTTTAATGTATTTAGTTGAAGGTGGGCCATAATCACATCTGTTTTCCAGCCCATGGGGAGACAGAAAGTTAAGGGAAAGCATTTCTTTTTGTTTTGTCAAAATAAAATCAGATTAAGTTAGAAAAAATTTTAAAGTTTATTGATATACAGTAAGAGAGAGTACATACTTTCATCCAGGAAACTTTAAACCAAATGGTAAGAATACAACAATTACAGCACAGTTTGTGATGCATAAAAGGGGAAGTCTACTCATCTCTAATTTTCCACAGGGGGATTCCAGGACCGCAAGCCTCTGGGCTATCTGAAATCCTTGAATGCTCAAGTCTGTTATATAAAATGGTTTAGTATTTGCATCTAACCTCCTCACATCTTTCTGTGTATTTTAAATCAACTCTAGATTAATTATAAGTGTAATATAATGTAAATGCTATGTAAATCGTTATGATACTGTATTGTTCCAGGAATAATGACAAGGAAAAAGTCTTGGGGCTGGGGATGTGGCTCAAGCAGTATTGCGCTCGCCTGGCATGCGTGTGGCCCGGGTTTGATCCTCAGCACCACATACAAACAAAGATGTTGTGTCCGCCGAAAACTAAAAAAAATAAATATTAAAAACTTCTCTCTCTTTCTCTCTCTCTCTTAAAAAAAAAGAAAAAGAAAAATCTATACATGTTCAGTACAGATGCAATTGTTTTCTGAATATTTTTGATCACTGGTTAGTTGAGTCTGTGCATATGGAGGGCCAACCGTATTTTCACCTTTTTTATTCTAATACTGGGGATTTAACCCAGGTGTGCTTTACCACTGAGTACATCTCTAATCCTTTTTTATTTTTTATTTTGAGACAAGGTCTCACTAAGTTGCTGGGAGTCTCTCTAAACTTACAATCCTCCTGCCTTAGCCTTCCAAGTTGTTAGGATCATAGGCACGTTCCATTGAGCCCAGTTATTTTGACTTTTTTTTTTGATTGGCTGTTATACATTACCATTCTTTTTAAGGAAAGTAGAGCTGTTAAGCTGATTTGTCTATAATTGATTGATTTCATTTCACTGATTCCTGCTGATAAGGATGTAAAGCTTATGTTTTTTTTTTATGATTATAGATGGTGCTTTGGGGAAATCAAGATAACTTAAGTTTTGGGTGGAGTATGGTTGGCCTTCAGGGTAAAGCTCAACTGTGGCCTCCATTTTTATCTTAAATCTTTATGTAGTTTTTTTTAAATTTTATTTTCTTTCTTTTTTAAAAATTAATTAATTTATTTTTTATTATTTAGTTTTTTTAAAAGAAATTTTCATTTTTAAATATTTTTATTTATAAATGGACACAATACCTTTATTTTATTTATTTATGTGTTGCAGAGGATCAAACCCAGTGCCTCATGCTTGCTAGGCAAGTGCTGTAACACTGAAGTATAACTCCAGCTCTTTATGTAATTTTTGATAAAAAATTTTAAACATGCACAGAAGTAGAGAAAAATGTAATATAGTGAACATCTTTGTATGCATCACCTGCATTCACTTACCTTACTCTACTCCTAAACCTACTGAGGAATCACCTCCTTGAAGAAGTCTTCTACTTCTCATAGGGTAGTATTGATCTGTCTTTGTGATAGTTTGCATCTTGATTTAATTTGGTTTAGGTTTTTATTTCAAATCTCTTTTAATGGCAGTTGGCTTTCTGCATCAAAGCATGCCACCATTATATGATTTAGCAAGTACATTTATTGAAACCTAGAATGCTAGAGTCATGCTTCATGAAAATCAGACCTACGTTTGGGCCATGTATTTTGTGACTGACTACTATGATTCTATGTATGCAGAGTCTGTGGGAAATTGTACCAAATCTTTTACATGGTTTTTTAATGCTGTATTTTCTTTCTTGCAGCTTTCAAATGCCACTTGGCAGAATATAGTATCATGCTTTTTACAAGTAAAATTCAATTTAAGGTCTTTTAAGACTAAAATTATATTTTTAAAACACTTTTTTGCTTTTTATAATTATATAAGTAATGCATGTTCAATGTAGAGAGAAATGGAAGGCATAAGAAATAAAAAAGAGAAAACAATACTCACTTGTAGCCTCACCATTCAGATATAAGCCACTATCAATATTTGGGTACGTATGTTCGTCCAATCTCCTTGCTGTGTTTATGAATATTTTTAAGTTCACATGTTTTAATAAAAATGATATACATACTGCTTTGCAATCCTTTTTCTAAATTAGCAATTAATTTTAACATTTTTCATTATCAACAGATATTATTCTACAAGAAAAGGTTATGGCTCCATAGTATTCCATTAAATGGCTATACTTGAATACATAATTTATGTAACTGATCTGTTATTGTTATTATTTGGGGATATTTAGGTTGTTTTAAACTTTTTACTAAACCAACCATATTTTAAAAATTATTGTCTACCCTTACTGAATGCATGTTCTTTTCCCCCACATTTTCTCCCAATTCCAGAAATGTTGGACTTACCATGGGGAATATGAGGCTAATGAAAATAATCTTTATGAAATATACTTTGACATAAATTGTATTTTTTTGGCTGGAATTTAACTCATTAATTTCATCATAACAGCAGAGCTCTTTCTGAGAATTCCCAAATACTTTTTTCTTAATTTTAAATGAGTGAAATATCTCATTTTGGTTCTCTTTGTCAAAACAATGGTCACATCTTGTATTCTAGATTCGAATGCAGGCTCAAGGAAGCTTATTCCAAGGAAGCATGATTGGCAGCTTCATTGATATATACCAACAAGAAGGCACCAGGGGTTTGTGGAGGGTGAGTACTCTTTTCCTGATATTGTTCTATACTCTCAGTTCCTAGAATTTGCAAGCAATACTTTTTTATATAAGGCCATAAAATTGTAAATTATAACCTCCCCCAAACAAAGTAAGAAGCTCCTGGGATGTGAGGGGGGTGGTTGGGGTTGTGGCTCAGCGGTCGACTGCTCGCCTAGCACATGTGAACCCTGGGTTTGATCCTCAGCACCAAATAAAAATAAATAAATAAAATATAAAGGTATTGTATCCAACTACAACTAAAAAATATATTTTAAAAAGAAGCTCCTCATCACAAATGAAAGGACCCATATTTATCAGTGATCTTTATTTCTGCTTAATGTTTGAGGGTTGTATATATGGGGAAAGGTATTGCATTATTTTTGGTTTGTTTAAATTCCCAGTGAATTTAGTTCTTCAAAGTATTTTTTACTAGTTTTGTAGTGACACACAATCTTTGTCTATGATGGCCTCTGTAGTGCTTATGTTTAAAAGTTGTTACTTAAAACAACCTTTTTAAACTTATAAAAAGTACAATGTACTGTAAAATATTGAGAAGATACAGAAAAGCAAAAACAAAAATTACAGTGGTAGTCCCACCACCTAGCAATAATAACTGTTAACAATTTGTCATATTATCTTCCAGCTTTCTATTCTTTTTAAAAATTTTTTTTAAACTTTATTTTTTTATGTGGTGCTGAGGATTGAACCCAGTGCCTCACACATGCTAGGCAAGCACTCTACCACTGAGCCACAACCCCAGCCCCAGCCTTCTATTCTTTACTGTTTGTTGTCATTATTGCTATAACTTTTTAATCTGTGTTAATTATTAGATATTGTAATAGTAAATAAGACTACTTATAGACTATGCAGAGAGAATGTATGGGAAACCCATTAATGACTTCTAAATAAAAATGAGAGCTTTGCTAATATTCTTCCTTTATATTTTCCACAACTACTTGTTATTAAAAATTCAAACATAGACATTGAAAGAATTGAACTATGAATGCTACTTATGCATGATCTCATGACCTGGACTAAATGACTGGTAGAATTTGAACATATTAGTTTTATTTATGTATGTATGTGTGTATATATATATATATATATATATATATATATATATATATATATATATATAAACACACCCACTTTTTTATTTTTGCAAAACTAGATGAAAGGGCTGGGGTTGTGGCGAATTGGTGGATGGCTCATCTAGTATGTGCGAGGCCCTGGGTTTGATCCTCAGCACCACATAAAAATAAATACATAAAGTGAAGGTATTATGTCCAACTACAACTAAAAAATAAAATAAAATATAAAAACCATGTGAAAGTAAGTTGTAGGCATTATGGTGCTCCCTTGAATACTTCATTATGTATCTCCTAGAATATGAACATTCTCTTATACAATAAAAATACCATTATCAAATGAAAGAAAGTTAACAATAAGTCCCTAATACTTAATATGCATTTTATGTTAAAAATCTTTCTATTGATGAGATCAGACTAGTTTTCTTATAGGATGTATTTAACTAGTTCCTCTGTTCCTTATATTTACAATAAGCTGAACGTTGAGACCATTGGCTTGATTATATTCATGTTAAGCATTTGTGGTTAGAGAGATTCATAGATGATGCTGTGTTTTTCATGTTGCATCATAGCGAGAGGTGCATAAAGTTAGGTTGTCCCATGATTAATAGTGCTAAGTTTGATGACTTGGTAAAATGATGTTCACCAGGTCTTGCTGTTATAAAAGATAATTTTTCCCTTTGCAATTAGCAAGTAATCTGTGAGGGGATCTTCTAGCAACATTTATATAATACTTCATAACTGGACATACTTTTATGATCCAGGCTAGTTGGATGATTCTGGCACATAACAAAGAAGCAGAGTACATTGTGTTGTGTATTCTTTTGAGATAGACATAATCTTTCATGTTATGATCATAGCATCCATTAATGATCCTTAAAGTTTGCTCTTTGATCACAGCATGGTGTACTTTCTTGATTAGTCTACCTTAAAACCAGAAAATAAAACTAACTAGAACTTTTTCATAAACTGATTCCAGGTGACAAAGACAAAACAATAAGTAGAATGGGGGATATTGTCAAGGGAGCATAGATATTTTTGTTTTTAATTGTGGTAAAATCTACATAAAATTGATCCCTTAACCATTTGTATGTGTATAGTTCAGTAGTGTTAAATACATTCACATTGTTGTGCAGCCAGTCTTCAGAACTCTATTTTACAAAACTGCAACTCTGTACCCATTAACAACTCCATGTTTCCCTTACCCCAAACCCCTGGCAACCCCTATTCTACTCTCTTTCTATGAATTTAACTAGTCTAGATACCTCATATAAATAGAATTATATAATATTTGTCCTTTTGTGAGATTTCACTTAGCATAATGTCATTAAGGTTCATCCAAATGGTAGCATGTATCAGCATTTCCTTCCTTTTTTAAGACTGAATAATCCCATTGTATGTATATACCACATTTTGTTTATCTATTCAACCATTCATGAACACTTAGGTGGCTTCACCTTTTGGCTATTGTGAATAATACTGCTATGTAAATGGGTATGCAAATATATCTTTGAGACCCTGCAGTCAATCTAAAAAAAAAATTTATAGTTGTAGATGGGCAGAATGCCTTCATTTTATTTGTTTATTTTCATGTGGTGCTGAGGATTTAACCAAGTGCTTCACACATGCTAGGCAAACTCTCTGCCACTGAGCTACAGCCCCAGCCCCTGCAGTCAATTCTTTTGGTTATATATCCAGAAGTGGTAAATCTTTATTTAGTTTTTTTAGGAACTGAATATAGCTACTTTTATGATCCAGGCTAATTACATGATCAAGGCATGCAATGTAGAGAAGCAAAAAACATTATATCATGTATCCTTTTTGATGCAGACATATTTTAAATACAGGAATATTTTCTTTTCAACAAGGAACTATGCTTATGATTTTCTTCAAATACATGGTTTATTTTCCTGCTTTGATTGTAACATGGGTACCAGAAACATTTCATTTTCTTCCTAAGAAAAAAATAGCAGGAGTATAACAACAAAGTATAACCAGGACTTCAGTCAGAGTTGGAGAGCCAGTTGTATGGTGAGGGCTGTGGTTTGAACTACAAAGCACCAGCCACTTTGAAAGAGGACAGTTTCTTCTTAGCTCTAGCTGCCATGTATTGATGGTAAGCCCAGTGTGGCCAAGTTTTCTAGCCTTTCAAGAAAATCTAGAAATGTGCATTTCTATGTAAAGTATCCTAATTTTTCACATATTGACAACTTCTGAATTTTTAAAAATATTCTGTGGGCCACACAAAACATGTCTGTGGCCTGAATTCTACCTGTGGGTCCCAGTTTGGGGCCTTACTGTTTACAAGTAGTCTTCTGGAAACATCATCCTATTTAACAGTGAAGCAGGTAAAAGAGTCACAGAGGAAGGCACTGTTTGGCCAGATTATCAGAATCAAGCATTTCAGCATAGTTATATCACTTCTACTTTATAAATTGAGTTTGGGAATTTAGAAGTGATTGAACATTTTAATATTAGAGTTATTCCAGAAAGCAGTTATCCTCCTGGTATGTTATTTTCAATTTTAAAAATTCATTTATATTTTTTCATTAATTCCCCAGCTTTATTGAGGTATGATTGATAAAAAAGCATTCATATTTAAGGGGTGTAATTTTCAATTTTAATGATAAACAATTATAAAGGTAAAATATTTAATTGTGAAAATGTGAAAAATATGGTATTTGCCGGTAAATAGATGGAATTGGAGACTATTACGCTAAGTGAAATAAGCCAATCAAAAAAACCCCTAAGTCTGAATATTCTCTCTGATATGTGGATGCTAACACACAATAAGGGGGAGGGGAAAGAAGAATCGAAGTTTATTGGATTAGACAAATGGGAATGAAGGGAAGGGAGGGGGCATGGGAATAGGAAAGACAGTGGAATGAATCAGACATAACTTTCCAATGTTCATATATGAATACACAACCAGTGTAGCTCCACAACATTGTTAATCACAAGAATGGGATTCTAATTAGGGTAAGTTGTACTCCATGTATGTGTAATATATAAAAATACACTCTACTGTCATGGATTATCTAAAAAAAACAAATAACATATAAAAGGCATAAAAACGAAAGTTAATTTATCTGTTTTCCTAACCCCAGATGTGTTTTCTTCTAATCCTTTCTAAAATTTGGTATATGTGTGTATATGTATACCTTTTTCCCTAAAGTTAGAATATTACTATATATAATTTTATGTCTTGCCTTCTTTAACATTGTATCATAAGAATATTCTTGTATCATTAATATTCTTTCAAATATGTGACTTTTAATGCTCTAGCAACCCTCTATTATCTTGTGAGCTATGAAAGGAATATTATGTTAGTGAGTAGATCACTGATACTATTCCCACAGAACTTGTAAGGACTTGAAAGGGGAAGTTTTGCTTTTCCTAGGCCCTTTTCCATAGCTGCTTCATACCTTTACTGTTACCCTACTGTGTGTGCATTCTGTACATCCTAAAATTCTATGAATTAAACTCAGAAGTTCTACTTTTCCTCACTGACTTTTGTTTCATGGTTTTATTTTTCATAGCAGCTTTTGCCTTTAAAGTATACAATGTAATGGCTTCTAGTATATTTATGTATTTGTGCAATAGTTACCACTGTCTTAATTTCAGAACATTTTCATTATCAAAAAGAAACCCCTGGGGCTAGGGTTGTGGCTCAGTGGTAGAGCACTTGCCTAGCATATATGAGGCACTGAACTCGATTCTCAGCACCATATATAAATAAATAAAGGTCCATCAACAACTAATAAAATATTAAAAAAAAACCCTACCCTTTAGTTTTCATTTTCTATTCTCCCAGCCTTCCCAGCCCTATACAACTACTACTCTATTCTCTGTCCATATATATTTGTCTATTGTAGATATTTCTTATAAATGGAAGCATATCATGTATAGTCTTTTGTGACTGGCATTAACATACTTTTTTCGAGGTTCATGTGTGTTGCAGCATGTATCAGTACTTTTTTTTCTTTGCAATGCTTGGGATGGAACCCAGGGCCTTGTGTGTGCTATGTAGGTGCCTTACCACTGAGCTATATCCCCAGTACTAGTACTTTATTTCTTTTTATGGCTGAATAATAATTCTACATTTTTTGGTTTATACTTTCATCAATTTACGAATGTTTAGGTTGTTTTCTACTTTTTGGCTATTGTGTCTAATGTCACTATGAACATTGAGTATACATTTTTGCATGAATATTTATATATTCATTTTTCTTGGGTATGAACGTAGTTATGAAATTGCTGAATCATATGGTAATCTTGTATTTGACATTCTGAGGAAATGCCAATTGTTTCCACAGTGGCTGTCTCATTTTGTGTTCCCACCCCAGCAGTGTATAAGTGTTCCACTTTCTCCACATCTTAGCCAACACTTGCTATTTTACTTTAAAAAAAATAATTATAGTCATCTTAGTTGCTGTGAAGTAGCATGTCATTATGATTTTGATTTGCATTTCCCTAATGACTAATGATGTTAAGCAACTTTTCATTTGCTTTTTGGTCATTTACATATTTTCTTTGGGGTAAGTGTCTTTAGATCTTTTGTCCATTTAAAAAATTGGATTATTTTTCTTTTTATCACGTGTTTTAAACGTTTTTTTTTTTTTATTCTGGGTACTCGTTCCTTATCAGATACATGATTTGCAAGCATTTTTTCTGATTGTGTGGGTTTCCTGTTCACTCTCTTGATGGTGTCTTTTAAATCGCAATTTTTTTTAAAGAGAGATAGAGAGAGAGAGAGAGAGAATTTTAATATTCATTTTTTAGTTTACGGCGGACACAACATCTTTGTTTGTATGTGGTGCTGAGGATCGAACCAGGGCCGCACGCATGCCAGGCGAGCACGCTACCACTTGAGCCACATCCCAGCCCCATAAATCACAAAATTTTTAATGATGAAATCTGATTTATCTATTTTTATCTCACGCTTTAGGTGTCATATCAGTGAATTTATTTTTAGTACAGCAAGTAAGTTGGGAATATATAAGTTTTAGTCACTGATTTGAAAGAATGATCTCTGTATTTCAGACTTGGCTTTTTTCCCCCATACTTTTCAACTATTGACCTATTTTATTCACTTGGAGATTTATGTCACTCTCTTTATTTCCTTAGTGTCTAATGTTAACTTATGTTTTGTAGGGTGTGGTCCCAACTGCTCAGCGTGCTGCCATTGTTGTGGGAGTAGAGCTACCAGTCTATGATATTACCAAGAAGCACCTGATATTGTCAGGAATGATGGGAGATACAATTTTAACTCACTTTGTGTAAGTAGGAAAGGTTGTACTTATTTTATACTTTTGGCAATTTGAGCACACAAAGCCTCAGTCACTGACATTCACAGGTGAAATTAATAACTGTTAAATATGACCATAATACATTTGTCTCTCTTATTTCCAGCACTTCAAGATTTCTGCACATTTTGCATTTCAGAGAGATCCCAGATGCTATGGGCACTAGAGTACTGCAGAGCAGTGTGTAATACAGCAGCCTACAAGATGTTTATAAGATTTGCATATATTCAAATATAGACTCTATATGCTAAACTCATCTATTATTTTCCTTGGTTTATTTTATATCAGAAAGCAAACTTTTCTCAATGAGACTAAGATAAAAGGGTGAAGTTTTGTGGAGCCTCTGAATCTAAACCACAGTTTTTGGCTAAAGACTGTTGCTGATCTCATTTTATATTTTTTTAGTCCTGCAACCTTTATGATGTTTTGTAATTTAAATGTATTTGGCATATTATGCTGTGGTTTGAAAATTATATGTAACTAATAAATAATGAGTTACACTTCCTGCTTGGAGGTGTTGTTAAGCATATAAACTGTCTACTTTGAAAAAGGGGGCAAGTGTCAGATTGAAAAACTGATGGGACAACCTTGAATGATGTTTGTTTAGAAAAGATTTCCTTTTTTCTTTAGATTGTAATGAAAGGGCAAATGTCAGGTTTTATCTGATAGGTCTGAGTTATTGTACCTTTATGTTTGGCTGAATTTCTCTTTAAGTGAACAGGAGATGGAAGTGGGGACAATCTATTTTCTTAAAGTTTTCATCTTTAGTTCCAGCTTTACATGTGGCCTGGCTGGGGCTCTGGCGTCCAATCCAGTTGATGTGGTGCGAACTCGCATGATGAACCAGAGGGCAATCGTGGGACATGTGGACCTCTATAAGGGAACTTTGGATGGTATTTTAAAGGTATGCAAAATGTGGGTTTGGGTTACATTTTTGGTTTTCTTTGATATCTCAGATCTTTTATCAGTTCTTATTCTTAGTTGCTACATATCATTCTGAAGATAAAAGAACCATTATGTATATTATGTAGCCTCTCTAAGTCATTTCCAGGTAGAAAATCTGTCTTTTTGGCCACCTGATGATGCTCAGTGGTCCTTAATATCATTATTCCAATTTCAGTGCTTGAGAATACAGTAGTACCATGTAGAATTATTGATAGAAAAGATAGAAAAGACTTAACATATCTCACATTTACCCACTTCAGATAAAACAGAGATTCTGTAATACAAATTCTGGTACTGAAAACAGCCCAGAAACCTGGTGCTTGATTTAAGTTCAAGATTGTTTTATTGTTCATATTTTGCTTTGAAAGTTTTTGCTGTTATGTTTTTTAATATTATATAAATGTATTATATATATTTATTAGTAAAATCATTGCTACAGAAACAAACCTGGGGCTAAAATGTGGTGCTTCCATATTATTTCTCTGCTGTTATCAGATTCATTGAGCAATTATTATATATTAGGCACAGAGAAATAGCTATTACAAATGTACTATAGGTATATAAAGAAATAATTGATAAAGCCTGGTAAATGATAAACTCAGAGTTATGTGGGAGACAATTACAGTCCAATTTGGAAATTTGAAATTGAATCCCTGTAGATGGTGGTAAATTACATAATAACAACTCCCGTCTGTTTAGTACTTCATTGTGTGTCAGGAGCTGTCCTAATGAGACTTACATGTATTCCTTCATTTAATCCTCATCATTACCACATGAGGTAGATACTGAAGCACTGAGGGATTAAGTAACCTCAGGGTTCCACAGCTAATAAGTGGGAGTGCTGGGATAAACTTAGACCATTTGGCTTCCAACCGACCTTAGCTTCTACATTATGATGCCTTCCTCATAGTGGTAGCTAAATTTTGGCTAGGCTATAAAGAGTATTGAATGTTATGCTGATAAGCTTGTACTTTTTTTAACTTGGTAGAAAAATATTTAAAGCTTTTTAATCAGGTCACATTTACATTTCACTTTTTAATGTTTTTATTAATGTGTTAGAGTTATACATAGTAGTAGAGTTCATTTTGATTTATTCATACATTCATAGAATATAATTTTCTCCATTTCAATCCCTGGTACTTCTGCTCATATTTGCATTTTAAATAGATGAATTGCCTTTAAAGAGGTGGCAAATTTAATCACTTGGGTTTCACAGGTACTGCATTTACCTTAGAACAATCAACTCAGGACCTGAGGTGTAAGACACAAGCATCACTATTCTTAAAACTTCTTAGGCTGCTGCAATATTCATCCAAGGCTGAAGACTACTAATATAAGGGGATAAGCATGAAGTAGTGGGTCTTTAAAAGTTTTACATGCCTCACAATCTGCAAGACTTGTTAAAATGCAGTTATCTAGGCACTATCTCTAGATGCTGATTCAGTTGGTCAGCAATAGGACCTGAGAAGTTGTTCTTCTAACAAGTTCCCAGGCAACACTGATAATACTAGCCTGGCAACCACACTTTCAGAACTGCAGACCTAGAGATATAGAAGCTGACTGGAAGGTTTTTATACTAATGTGAGCTAGAAGTGATAAAGGCCTTAACTTTAAAATGGTAGTGGGAATGTAGGAGGTGGTACAGAATTGAAAATAATGTAGTTGATAAAGTCAACAAAATTTGTTTGAGAAGTGTGGGAGAAAGGATATATCAAAGATGATTTTCAGATTTTTGGATTTGATGACCAGATGGCAATATTCATTGGCAGAGGCATCATAGGAAGGGGAATAGGTTTTGTGGGAAACATCATAGTTGTGGATACTTAGTTTGATGTGCTCATGAGAAACACCCAGTGCATATGTATGGATATACTAGCCCTAAGATGGGAAATTTCATGGATGTAGATAAGACCTTGTGGGATCATTAGCATATAGGTGGTTCATAACCAAGGAGAGCAGGTAGAGGTGTTCACAACCTTTTTGCCTTCCTAGCACACTGCAGCAGTATATAATTCTTTCCAGTAATAATGATTCACTGAGGCAGTGATTCTCAGACCCTGGGGAATTTAATTTGCCAAAAGTCTCCCTTGGTATTTCTGACATGTTCACCTCTCCATTTGACAGTCGTTGGAATAGAGAGAAGAGGAGTGGACTAAGGAAAGAACACTGGGGAACATCAATTTTTAAGAACTTAGTAGGTGATGACCCCAGGAAAGACAGTTTAAAAGATATGAGGAAACTTCGGAGAGAGTGATGTCATAGAAGCCAAAGGAGTAATGAGTTTCAGGAAGGAATGAGTCATATGCAATAGAGAGATATAGGATGATGAGGATTACCAAATATCTGTTGGATTTAATATTCTCTAAGTAAGGTTTCATGGATTGGTGTTTGAACTGTGTGTTGAACTGTGTGGATTACTGTGTGTTGAGGAATATGTTTAATCATTCATTCATTCAGTGAAAACAGTTTGTGTATCACATGATAGACAGTGTTCTAGGTTGGTATAGATATGTTGGTGAACAAAATGACACTTAAATTCTAATAGGAGGAGATAAACACATAGGTAAGTGAGGATAAGTAGATAGGTATAAAGCACTCTTTCAAGAAGGTTGGCTGAGAGCTCACAGAAGGTAAAATAATATAATAATAGCATTTATTGAATGCTTATTATGTGCCAGGCACTCTATATAGAGTATATGCTTTAACAAATCCTATGGAGAAGATATTATCTTTCCCTCTTTATAAATGAGGAAACTTTCAATCATAGTAGCTAAGCTTGGCCAGTAACTTGCCTAAGATACACAGCTAATGAGTGGCAGATCTGAGATTGACTCTAGGGTCTAATTCTGAAGTTTACTTACAACAACTATGCTGTGTTGTATCTGCAGAAATATATTTTTATATTGGTAGTACCTTTAAGTATTTATATGTGTTCACTCATTCATGTACTTGCTATGAAAGTTCTTTAAAGTGATTTTGTTTTATGTCATCATTATATATGATGTACCTTCCATATTATTTTGCATTTCCTCTTTTAGAGTCCTAAAACACTTTGGTAAGGAGTCATGCATTCATCTCTGACATAGTGAAGAATGGCTGCAAATCTCATCCTGTCACCCCTATCTAAAGTTCATTAGTGAGTCAAATGTGGTGGTATATACCTATAATCCCAGTGACTTGAGAGGCTGACTCCAGGCTCTCTATGATCCCTTTTCTCTCCTATAGCCTTATTTATATCACCTTTATTTTACATTCCAGGCACACTAAAAATTTCCAGCCCTAGGTTTTCTTTTTCCCTTCACATGTTCACCCATGCCATATACCACCCCAAATACATCTTTCACTTGGCCAGTTCCTAGTCATACTTCAGATCTCATTACCTTTTCAAAAAAAGTCTTCCCTGACCATTAGACTAGGTTATATATTCAAGAGTTTCTTGTAGTTCCTCTGTCATAGCATTTATTAATATTTTTAAAAATTTACATATCATTAAATTAACCCATTCAATATTTAGTATACTTAGCATTTTAGCATATCACAACGAGATATATCAACTTTAGAACATTTTTATAACCTCAAAAAGAATCCCTATATCCTTTAGCTTTCATCCCTTATCCCCCATCCATCTAGTTCTAAGCAGCCACTAACCTACTTTCTATCTCTATAGATTTTCCTCATCTAGATATTTCGTGTAAATGGAATCATACAATATATAAATTTTTGACTGGATTCTTTCACTTACCATAAATGTTTTCAACATATTACATGTTGTAATATGTATCAGCACTTTATTCCTTCTTACTGCTGAATAATGTTGTGTGTTTCTGTTTATTCATATTTGTAATTGCTTTTAGTGTCTTCTGTCCTGGTGGAGTATAAATTCCATGAAGGTAGAGCTGTATGCATCTTGTTTATTACTTTTCCACAGCAAATTATTAAATGAACTAAAATATGTATCTTCATAAAGTATTCTGTGTCTATGCTTATCTACCAAAGTTCTTATTTTCACACATCTGTCTCAAACAAGAAAATATCTTCCACTTCTCAAGTTTTGAAGGTGTTCACTATTTTGCAGATTTATAAGGATTTAGATGGTTGACAGAATTGTTAGAGACCATCAACATTTGTTTCCCACAAATTTGTTGGAAACTTAAATGGGGCAGACATGGTGGGGATGAAATGGTAAACAAGACAAACATAGTTCCTGCACTCTTGGAGATTGTATTTTAGTTAAGGGAGACAGACAATAAATACACATGTACACACAAATGGTATAATTTTAGATAGAAGTAAATATTAGAAAGAAAATAGAGCATATTAAAATATTCACTGGGTGCTTGGGAACTACTTCAGCTTAGATGGTCAAGAAAAACCTGTGAGGGGCTGGGGATGTGGCTCAAGCGGTAGCGTGCTCGCCTGGCATGCGTGCGGCCTGGGTTCAATCCTCAGCACCACATACAAACAAAAGATGTTGTGCACCGAAAACTAAAAAATAAATATTAAAAAATTCTTTAAAAAAAAAAAAAGAAAAACCTGTGAGGAGGTAACAAACTGACATGTGAATGATGAGGAATTGGTGGCCATGTGTAGAACCTTGAAAAAAGCATTTCATAAACAAGGAGCAGCTTACAAAGGATCTGAGTTGGGAATGAGCTTGATATGTTCAAGAATTAGAAAGTAGGCTTGTGTGGCTGAGTATGGTGAGTGAAAAAGAAAGTAGTAGGAAGTGAAACTGGTGAGAGAGGCAGAGGCTAAATCATGTAAGTTCTTGTGTGTCATTGCAGAGAATTTGCAACTAGAATGAAATCCACAAGAAAGCCATCTGAGATCTTTAAATGGAAAAGTGACATGATCTGATTTATAACTCTTAAAGATTGTTCTGGTTTCTAGATAGAGATTTTAGACCGGTTAGGTATTCCAGGTAAGAGAAGATGGGATTATAATGTATCTCTGAGGTCCCTTGTCATTTGTTGACGATTCTAGGTTATCTTCATCTAAGCTTTTGTTTTGAGTGATTTTCAAATTTTTCAGCATTAGTTTTGGCCTGAGACCTTCAGAATTTGCTAAAGATCCATCGATGTCAACATTACCACTGTGTTTCCATAAATAGTACCCTCATTATATTATTCTTTGTTTCTTCCAAAATTGATTAGTAAGGATAATTATCTCTAGTGTTCTTAAGCTGTAAGGGGAGATAGGGATATTTGTAAATCTGGCTTCTCATATTGTCTTATCCAAATACATCCACTTTTTATATAGTGTTAAATTTCACTTCATCAATTCAAAGGAAAAATAATATTTTTCAATATCTAACACAATGCCTAACACATTGTATTTACTTAATAGATACTTGTCTGTTTATATATATATATATATATATATATATATATATATATATATATATATAAAACAGACAATATCTATTAAATAACAGTAAAAAAACTATAAAATAACAGTTTCTGCTGGCAAAATTCAGCACATACCAACAGTTTATGAGCTTGAGTATACATAATTTATCATTTAGATCTTATAACCACTTGGTCTATACAGAGACACCCCGCCCCCCGCACCATATTGTACAAAGCAGGAAACTGAAACAAAGCAGTTTACATTGTTCCTCCTGTAATCCTGAAAGCATTCATATGAAATAGACCATGGGGTCACACAGAATTTACAATGATGGAACAATGAGTTGTCCAACTCCCTATGGACTTACACCCTGTTTTACTTTTCTTCATAGCATTTATTCCTAGTTATCATATATATCAATTTGTGTATTTGCTTGTCAGCCCCACTAGAGAATATGTACTCAATGAGGGGAGGGACTTTGTAAGTTATGTACTGCAGTGCTTTAAAACAACAAAATATTGCTACTTTGGAGTTTTTGTGGATCAGGAATTGGGAAGTAGCTTAGCTAAGTGATTCTAATTTAGGGTCTCAGAGGAGATTGTAGTCCACATGTCACCTAGGACTGCAGTCATCTAAAGGTTTGACTGGAGCTATAAAACTATATAAACTATATCTATAAACTATAAACTACTTCAAAGACTGCTCATGTGGGCTGTTGACTGGAAGTCTTATTTCCTTACTGTGTAGGCCTTTCTTCATGCCACAGTGGCTGCTTTCCTTCAGAGTGAATGATTTAAGATCATAATAAGGGAGATGCCTTATATATATATGAATATTTTTGTGATACTATATTGAACCCAAAAGCACTCTTATCACTGAGCTACACTCCCCAGCCCTTTTATTTTATTTTAATTTTTTTAAAAATATTTATTCTTAAGTTTTAGATGGACACAATATCTTTATTTTACATTTATGTGGTGCTGAGGATCGAACCCAGTGCCTCATGTATGCTAGGCGAGCACTCTACCATTGAGCCACAACCCCAGCCCCCCTTTTTATTTTTATTTTGAAATAAGGTCTCACCAAGTTGCCTAAGCTGCCCTTGAATTTGTGATCTTCTGTTCCAGTCCCCTAAGTATCTAGGATTACAGACATGAGCCTCTGTACCTGGCTCTAAAATATCTTAAAACCTAGCAAGGGAAGTGACATGTGTAAACTACTGTCATATTTCTATTGGTGACAGAGCAGTCCTGATACATTATGGGTGAGGACTTCACAAGGGCATGAATAACCTGAAGGTAAGTTTTATTAAGGGCCATCTTAGAGGCTGGCTACCACAGGCACTATTTGTGTGCTATTCTATTTCCAGCATCAAGAACAGTGCCTTGCATATGGTAGGTGCTTAGTAAATATTTGTTGAATAAGTGGGTAGATGTCTTTAGACTACTTATGAATTCAAAGTGTATTTTTAGGAAAAAAACATTCATGGAGCCATAAGTTGCTGGGGTGGGGATGGAAAATGATTGTCACATGTAAAGAGAAAGGGAATTTACTGTTTTTTGTTATATCTTTCCTTCAGATGTGGAAACATGAAGGCTTTTTTGCCCTCTATAAAGGATTTTGGCCAAACTGGCTTCGACTTGGACCATGGAACATCATTGTATCCTTTTCATACATGAGAATGAAAGCAGGTATTTCAAGATCCCAGATAATTCTAGGCTATGGGAAGGAAAATTTGATTATGAAAGTAAATAAGTAAGAAACTCAAGCATCCTAATGAAGACCATTGAAACTAAATATAGAGAACTAAATATAGGAACTAAATACAGAGAACTAAATATAGGAACTAAATATAGAGAAATAGCTTTTAATTGGAGGCTAATACAAACTAAAAGGGGTTGGAAATATCTACCAAACTTTCTTGTTTTCCTATTCCAATCAAAATGACTACAAACACAGCCAATCTGGAAGGGACTATGAAGTTTTTAGAAGCCCTGATGGGAGATGCCCACAGGAAAGTTCATGCTGAGGTGGTCTGGGTTTCCTACTCCTAACTATAGGACTAAAATAGCTGGGAAATAATAACAGGACAGAATACATTCATAGAGTGAAGAAATCCACAAGAAATTTTCTTGTGGGTGAATTGCCCTCCTTTAGCTGTGCAGAGCCATGTATTGGGCACTGTGTGTGGTGCTTTGTGAATAGTCATGAGCACCACAGGGTTGAAAAGTAATTCCCTCCCTATGGGGTCTGTAGGCTGACAGAGATATTATGTCTTTCCTGAACTCTTTGAAATTCCTCTAATCACCTAATGTGTATAACAATTATTCTAGCATGAAATTATACATTGTCCTTGATGTTCTTGGATATTGTGTATGTTCTCTTTGTCCCTAAGTATATTAGGATTTTAATCTGTTTAATTCCTAAATGCCAGCAATCATAGTGGGCACATGGTAGGTACTCAGTACATCTTTGATTTGACAGGTATTGTTTTAAAAAAAAGACCTTTAAGCCAATGCATCTTAGAATAGCACAGACTAAGTACCTTAATTTAAGAGAATGCAATGCACAATTTTAAAACTGGATTTGGCTTTCATTATCAACTGAGAGATCTTCCATGACTTATTCCTCAGTTTTTTATTACATATGAGCAACTCAAGAGGCTTCAAATCTAAGAACTGAATATGTGTGAGCCTGGCTTTGCCAGCCTTTCTATTCTTTTTCTTTTTCCTTTTTCGTGTTATAATGTATTTTGACAAAGTTGTGTTTACTGAACCAATGGTCTCCCAAAGGCCTCCTGATGGAAGAAAAAAGGATGGTTCAAAGTTGTTTATGTGTTTGTGTTATCATGTTAACTTTTCCCTGAGAGGAGTGTTAACATTGAGACTCTGGCCCCAGATTGGTATCTTCTGTGAAGATGGATACTGATGGGTGACATTCAAAATGGCCTTCTTTTCAAATGTTGGTTAAATGTAGTTGCTTAGCCCCAGGTTTGGGCTAGAGCAGAAGGCATAGGCCAGGACAGTTACTGCTATGAATGTTATAGACCTTGGTTCTCATTAAAGTATTTACTGGCAAAATCACTTTGACTTTGTCTTTATTTACTATTTTCTATACTATTTTATGCCAACTCTTTTTTTATATCTTTATTTTTATGTGGTGCTGAGGATTGAACCCAGTGCCTCACATATGAGGCAAGCATTCTACTGCTGAGCTATAGACCCAGCCCTCTTTATGCCAACTCTTTTAGTTACATTCTCTAGAAAGTGATAAAAAGAAGGTGAATATGAAATTGAGACTGTACTCTTTTTTTAATATTTATTTTTTAGTTGTAGTTGGACACAATACCTTTATTTTATTCACATATTTTTATGTGGTGCTGAGGATCAAACCCAGGGTCTTGCATGTGCAAGATGAGTGCTCTACCGCTAAGCCACTACCCCAGCCCCAAGAGACTGCACTCTTAAAGCACACATTTATGGGAATAGAATAAGTGTTTTGTGCTTTCCCACCGCTATTCATTGTCATAATGCCACTCACTGCTAAACACCAGGCAAGTAGCTATTTCCTAATCATGAATGAGGAAGCAAGTGGCTCATTTGGAAGTTCCTACAGATAAAATGCTAAAAGAGGCATTAATAGGGAAAAAGTTCTGGCTACTGTCTTGTAATACAACATTGCCTGGCGTATTGCAGTCACTCAAACATTGGTGGAATGAATAGTATAGGTCTTCATTTTTATTGTTCATTCTTTTTTTTTTATTTTTGTAGTTGTAGACTGACAGCATGCCTTTATTTTATTTGTTTCATTTTTATGTGGTGCTGGGGATCGAACCCAGTGCCTCACACATGCTAGGCAAGCATTCTACCACTGAGCTCCAGCCCCAGCCCTGTGGTTTTTAAGCTCACATTATGGTGGGAGAACAGATGTGTAAATAAGTAATTACAATAAATTCTGAGTACCATGTGAGGGATGAACAAAGTTCTATAGGAGCATGGAAGAGAAACAGCCACAGGGGATTTGCCACAGGTTCATAATTGAGGTGACATTTGAGCTGAGTCAAATGAAGATTAGATCTTACCGTGTTGATGAGGCATTATTCATTTTGACAAATGTTTAACATGTTTCTACAATTAGAAAATCATATAGAATGATTTAACTGCTGTCAAAATCCTCTCTCTCTCCTCTTCATCCTTCCCTCCTTCCTAGCCCCTGGCAGCCACTGAATATTTTCATTGTCTTCATGGTTTTATCTTTTCCAAAGTGTCATATAGTTGGAATCATATTGTGCCTTTTTCAAACTGGTTTCTTTCACTGAGTAATATGTATTTAATTTTCCTCCATGTCTTTTCATGTTTTGATAGCTCATTTCTTTTCAGTGCTGAATAATATTCCATTGTCTGTATATACCATGACATATTTATGTGTTCATCTACGGAAGGACATCATGGTTGCTTCCAAGTTCTGGCAATTATGAATAAAGATGCTCTAATCTTTTGTGTACATATTTTTGTGTGGATATAAGTTTTCAGGTCACTTAGGTAAATACCAAGGAGCACAATTGGTGGATGTTATGATAAAAGTGTGTTTGTTTTATAAGAAACTGCCAAACTGTCTTCCAAAGTGGCTATATAATTTTGTATTCCCAGCAGCAGTTAACAGGAATTCCTGTGGATCTACCTCCTTCCTAGCCTTCAGTGTTGTCATTTTTTTGGGTTATAGCCCTTCTAGGAGATGAATAGTAGCATCTTGTTTATTTATTTTTGTTTTTGATACTGGGAATTGAACCCAGAGGCATTTTACCACTGAGCTACATCTCAGCCCTTTTTAGTTGCCCTTTTTATTTTTTATTTTGAGACAAGTTCTGGCTAACTTACTGAGGCTGGCCTCAAACTTTTGATTCTTCTGCCTCAGCCTTCTCAGTCACTGGATTACAGGTGTGTGCTGCAGTACCTGGCTGTGTTTTTTTTTTTTTTTTTTGTACTGGGGATTAAACCTGGGGCACTTAAACTACATCCCCAGCCCTTTTTAAATATTTTCTTTAGAGACAGGGTCTTGCTAAGTTGCTTAGAGCCTCACTAAGTTGCTGATGCTGGTTTGAACTTGCGATCCTCCTGACTCAGCTTCGTGAGCTGAGCCATTGGGGTTATAGGCATTTGCTGTTTATATTTATTTTTAAACACTTACTACATCTGTTAGATAACCAACTCAACCCCAGATAGATAAGCAGAAAGAAGGTAATTTTTTCCACATTGGCTGAACAAAAGTGTTCATATTGTTAGAAATGACTCTCATTCACATTAACTTAAATGTTCTTCCTTAAGAGAAACCTTCCAGGGGCTAAGCTCTAGGTTTCTGTCACTTGCTGATGAAAACAGTGTGAAAGGGCTGAGATTGTGGCTCAGTGATAGAGTGCTTGCCTAGCACATGTGAGGCATTGGGTTCAATCCTCAGCACCACATAAAAATAAATAAATAAATAGATAGATATAAAGGTATTATAAAAAAGAGAGAAACCTTGCAGTGAATTTATCTACCCAATCTAAATAATTTTTCACACTATAATTTTTATATCGTATCACAATTTATATTGCATTTGTGTGATTATTTGATTAACATCTATATCTTCCATCAGTCTGTAAACTTCATAAGGAGAGAGATTATGTCGATTTTGTTGACTGCTGAATTTTCAGTACCCAGAACAGTTATATACACTCAGTAAATGTTTGTCAAATGAATAAATGAATTGATCTGTAGCCAAAGAATCAGATAAAATGCATTAAAATATCATAAAGGTTCAGCATATACTATGGGATTTAAATTGAATTAAAATTTGAATTACTAGATAGAATATTATATGATAAAGTTTACTTCAAGCCTGAGCCACTTGAAGGGCAGTATCATCTTGACTTTAAGTATTGTCTGTGTGCTAATGACTTCCAAGTGTCTATCCCCAGCCTATACCTCTCCCTGTATTCTCCATTCCATTGCTTACTCCACATCTCTGTTAGCGTCTGACAGGAACTACAGACTTAACAGGTACAAAACAAAATTTTTGACTTGCCCCATACAAAAACCCTTTTAGTGGCTCAGACCTTGAAGTAATCCTTTATTCTCACAACTCACATCCTGTACCCCAGCAAGATATATTTAAAGGGCTGAAATGATGATCAAAATCTGTAGGTTACAAGTTGAAAAAATCTTCACCCCCTGCTCTCCCAATGTTTTGAGTGGCTGGAGCATAAGATGACTCAGATAATAATAACTAAGCCAGGCAGAGTGGTGTATATCTATAGTCCCAGATGTTCAGGAGGAGGCAGAAGCAGGAAGATTGCTTGAGCCCCAGGGGTTGGAGGCCAGTCTGGGCAACATGGTGAGACCCTATTTCAAGGGGAAAAAAACCCTAATATTCACATGACTTTTTATTTGCCAGGTACTGTTTTAATTATATTATTTATAAAACTGTCCAAATCCTTATCCCTTTAGAAAAGTACTGTTCTCATTTTTCAGATGAGATGATGAGGCTCAGAAAGGTGGAAATGATTTGCCCCTAGAAAGTGGCAGAGCCAGCATACTAACCCAGGTAATCTGGCTCATGAACCCATGCCTGTAGTTATTATAGAGGTGTACTGACTTAACCTTGTCTAGAGTGAAGAATTTATGGCATTTGAGCACTAAAAAATATTGATTTCATTAATTCTCCTATCTTTATAGCACCCTTCTACCCCACCCTTCTTCCTCCTGTCTATGTGAGCACAGTTCACCAGGGGTAGCATAGTGGGGTTCAGAAAGAAGGTTCTTGCCCTCAGATATGGCACAGCAAAGCAAAATGAACTTGTTTCTGTTGTACATTAGACCATTTGAAGAAGAACTTAGAATTATTGAATTTAGAATTCAAACTAGAATTATTGAACTTTGCTGAGAGCCATAGCCAAGTAGGAATGACGCATGGCTCTCAGCAGAACTTAGAATTCAAACACTAGTTTGAAATTTAGTTATTTGGACATGGGGCTAGACTTCTTGCTGTCTGTATTTTGTATTTTGTTATGCTTACAAATAATTTTACAGGACAAGTGATTAAGCTACTAAGAACATGATTGTAAATAATGTATATATATTTGGTACTATAGATTTAACCCAGGGGTACTTTATCACTGAGGTACATCCCTATCCCTTTTTGTGTTTTTATTTTTGAGACAGGGTGTCACTAAGGCCTAGGGCCTCATAAAGTTGTGAGGCTGGCTTTGAACTTGTGAAATTCCTGTTTCAGCCTCCCAAGCCACTGGGATTAAAGGTGTGTGCCACTGTGCCCAAACTGATTATAAATAATTCTTTATTTACTAAAGTATATCATTTAATGGAATTTTTAAAAAGCCTAGTCCTCAGATATTATATGTAAGTTAAAGTAATAAAATTGCCCCCCCCATATTTTCATGTCTTCTTAGTTAGAATGGCAATTCCACAATAATCTTAATTTCTAAATTTTCACTGTAAAGGATATTTGTCCTCTCTTTATTTACAATGTCTTAGCTGTGCTTACTCATTTAAACACTTTTCATGCATTCTTCCCTTTCCTGTTTGTTTAAAAAAAAAAAAAAAAGCAACACAGGCTGGGGTTGTGGCTCAGTGGTAGAGTGCTCGGCTAGCACACATGAGGCACTAGGTTCAAACCTCAGCACCACATAAAGATAAAATAAAGATATTATGTCCACCTATAACTAAAAAATAAATATTAAAAAAAACAACACATTATTATATTAAGATTACTAAGGGACCTGGAAATCTTAAAGTAGTGGTTGGGATTTTGGATAAGAAATGCTTGAATTAGGGGCTGGGGTTATGGCTCAGCAGTAGATTGCTCACCTCACATGTGCAAGGCCCTGGGTTTGATCCTCAGCACCACATAAAAAATTTTAAAAAATTAATTAATTAATTAAAGATATTGTGTCCAACTACAAGTACAAAAAAATAAATAAAAGAAATGATTGAATTATGAGTCTGAGTCTGGTTTTTATATTTGAAATTAACTTGTGGCCATTCAGCTATAATTTATTGGTTACTCTGTCTTTTTTAACTACCTCTGAGATGATATGACATCCATTTGCTTTTTTATAGGAAATGTTTTTATAGTTGTTGAATGGCTCAATGAACAAATCTGCAAAAATACTACAGGTGATAAAATCACATTGAACAGTTTTGTAAGATAGCATGGCATTTTATTGGACCTATGACTATGTTATCTTTTTGTGTTAATCAGCTTTTAGTGCCCTAATGTCAACACAATTGAGACAGAGCTGGAACTGATATGGATCTATTATGATAAATGAGAAATAAGATTAAATCATGGGATTGTTGGACAACATATACCAATAAGAACAAACCTAAACAGGTGCAGAGACCTCATCAGGCTCTTGGCCCCACATGCTCTTAGTCCCTCCAGTGCTGAGGAGCAAATAAATCCTGCCTGCCCTGTGCTGTAAAAGGGGTTTTGAAAAAACAGGAACTGCTTTGTGCATTAAAACAGAGTCTTAGACTCTTAGCAGCTGCATCGGTCGTTTCTAGGATTCCTCATGAGAGGGCTCTTTGAGCCCAGTGGCTGATTATGGTCCTAACAGCTTGTAAATCCAGTGAACATATGGCTGGGTAGTAGCATGTTAAGCTCTCATGTACTTTACCCAGCCATGGTTATCCATTAGGTGAGAGCACATCTTTCCCTGTGAGCAAACTGAGAGACTATGGCTTTAAGGCTTCAGTTGCATCAAGAACTATATCCTGGCCCTTGTATACATGTTTTATTCCCACGCCCTCTTAGCATTTTATGGTATTGCACAAAGTAACTGCCTGAGAAAAATTTAAGAGTCAAAACACTGAAATATCACGCTGTGCTATATTGATGATGGAGTTGCACCCTGAGGTGCTTTCTTAAACTACTGTGCTCTATTAGTCCAGACTTCTGAATTTGCAGGAGGAAGATTAATCCTAGTGGTGGAACATCAAAAGGTTTCCTTTTGTTAACAACAACAACAACAACAGGAACAACAAAAGTTAACTCCCTTGGTATGGTTTATGCTTTCAGGAATTCATGAGCCTTATTTCTTTGATAGTCATATCAATGTGGTCTGTTCATTTATGGTTCACTTATGACTCCTCTTAGCAGATCTCCCAGGGAAACATAAATGCTCCTTGATCTAGTAATACTGCTTTGGAAAACTTATCCTTAGAGAATCAAAGAGAGACATGTCGGATTTATACACAGAGTGTTTATAGTGATATTATAACAATGAAAAATTGGAAATACCCTACATTAAACACAACTATAGGAAAATGGGTAAAATATTACATACTTGTACACTTATTGTTTAGGATTTTAAGGAAAAAGGGCTAATGTTTTTCTGAGCACTGACAATGTGCTATAATTTACTAGGCATTTTCACACATATTATCTAAGTTAATCCTCACTATAACAACATAAGGTAGGCATTATTACCCAATTAACAGTTGAGGAAACTAGTTCTGAGAATTTAAACAACTGAATCATGATTTGAACATTTGTCTGTTGGACTTCAAAGCCTGTGATTTTTTTCTTGCACATACTGACCCTCAGGGAGAGCAGAATTTTGTTATTTGGATTGAACCTAGTATTGATCACCTAACCTTCTGTTTCTGCTATTCTCCTGTAGCTTTAGAGAAATCTTTAAAATTTTATTTTAATTGGCAGATAACAATTATACATAATCATGGGGTACAATATGATGTTTTGATATATATTTACAATGTGGAATACTTAAATCAGGCTAATTAAGTAAATTATACTCACCTTTGCTTGTGTTGTATTAGCAAGATCTAGCCTTTGCAGCAAGGCCAGGAACTAAACTTTGAACCACCAATAAAGAGGGCATTGGCTTGAACTTGCTTTCAATTTTGTCCAAAATCCATATCATTATTTGTATTTCTGTCTAGTTTCCAATAACTCATAAACCAATCCAAGAGTGTGTTAGCAAAACTGTTATTTGCTGGATGCTCAGCACTTCAAGGGATATTGGGTTCCATCATCTACTCAAGAGCCAAAATCTTCAGTTGTAGGAGCATAAAGATTTTTTGGTGAGAGCAAGCATGTTCTCCTCTGGGCTAGAGTGGTAAACAGAACAACTGCAAAAGAATTTACCAAAGGAGGACTAATGTGTAAGAAACCCACCATTAGATAGTGAAGATAAGGAGTGTGGAAATTTCAAGAGTACAGAAACTCAGAGTCTTGAGTATTTTCCTCTGAATGGCTGATGAAAGAAAACTGGGAGTTTATCTAAAATTAGAGGGGAATTAAGAAAACCCAAGTGCAAAGCATCATGATGTGGTGACATCTTTTTGAGAGAATGATGGCTAGGTTCTATACAGTTTATGAATATCATAATTTGAGTTTTTAATGAAAATTTCAAGGGCCTCTTGAAATTAGCACATTAGGTTATCATTTTAGAGATATTGGAGGATTATCCTTCCAGGGTTGCTTCAACACCAAATCCCAAATGTATTAGTCTACATCATTTTAGTTTCTTGTTGCCCTCTTTTGTTCTCAACTCACTAACTTTCTGAGGAGATAACTCAGTTTAAGGCCTTGTGAACTAAACTTTCTAAGAATCCACTGTGGAGACCAGGAGGTTGAGGAATGAATTACAGGGAACTTAGGAAGGCAGAGTGTGGTTTCAGAGTGTCATTCTGTCCTTGAATTTTCCTGCCACGGCTTCCCAGAGGTAGCCTGAGCAAAATTCCCAGCTGCCAATTGTCATTTTATACCCCACAGAAAAAAGAATGAGGTACCTGCTCCTCAGCTGGCCTCCTCTACCATTTTGGTGGCATCTTCTTGTGTGACTGAGTTTCTTAGGAAAATGCAACTTTGGGAGTAACTGGATGAAAGTGTATCTCTGGGGGTCAAAGTGGGTCCAGGCTGGAAAGCTTGGCTGTGTCTGCCTTGGTATCTACCTCTTTTCCCTCTTTTCCTTTCCAGTGCCTCAGAATTTGTGTTTGAGCATTGTTATCAGTAAGTATCTATAAGTTACATATGAGACAACTGGGGGAAAGGAGCACCAGAGAGTTAAGGTGGTGGTGGATTGGGTGACATAGTAGCAGAAATAATCACAAAATAGGCTGTTTCCCAAATAATACAATTTAAATTCCATGAAGTGTGGGGAAAGACAAGCTTTAGACTCTAATTCAAGTTCCTATGTTTTATGCAAACTCACTATGTAAAATCCCTGATTTATATTAAAGAAGGTAGGAGGTACAAGAACTCCTCACTTACCAACTAAAAAAAAACCCTTATTTCTGTAGTTCTGTGCTGTCTAGTATGGGAGCCATTAGCCACATAGAGCTGTTAAGCATTTGAAGTATGATTAGGTTGAATTCAGATAATCTGTAAGAGTAAAATACACACTAGATTTCAAAGACTTAGTGTGAAAAAAGTAGTAATTTTTAATATTGATTACATGTTGAAGTGATAATACTTTGTATATATTGCATTAAATAAAACATTAACAAAAATGTTTAAGGAGATGGAAATGTTAATTACTCTGATTTGATCATTACATATACATGTGTATTGAAATATCACACTCTACTCCATAAACATGTACAATTAGAATAATAATTTAAAATTAAAGCTTGAGATGTTAAAGAACATTAACATTAATTTTGTCAGTTTCCTTTTTAACATGGCTACTAGAACATTAAAAACTGTTATGTGGCTTGCATTATATTTCTGTTGGACAGTATTGCTCTGATATGTTCAAAAATAAGATTTGTTATACAAACAGCTTTGTAGCAGTACATTTCTTGCTTTAAATAAGTATACTATACAGGAGACAGGCCTGTTTCAAAAGAAGGACAGGGAGGAATGGAGATTTGCAGATGGAAAAACTGGTTATAGAAGAAAATCAGGACCCTGTCCCAGTTGCCTCTCATTCTGGGGGTGAAGGGATGTGGAAGGTGGGGTGGTCAGTCATCTGAGGCAACTTTTATCATTCCCTTAGCTCCACGTGATCTCTTAGCTGGGGTCCAGAATCAGGAGAGGAAGGGCACTTTGAAACTTCTCCTTCCTTACCATCTTAGCCATCAAGCTCTGAGTTGGAGACAGTGATGATGTGACAGGAATTTTCCCTGGGCCTCTCTGAACCACCATTCCTGGTTGTGAGAAGGCAGAGGAGTGAGGTGAGCCCCTTCTTCACTCCCAGGGCCATGTGGTAGAGCTGCAGCCGCACCTCCTTCTGCCAATAGGCATAGATGAGTGGGTTGAGCAGGGAGTTGCCTACACCAAGCAGCCACAGGTACTGTTCCAGCACTTTGTAGAGGTAGCACTCCTGGCAGGCCACCTGCACAATGCTAGTGACAAGAAAGGGGGACCAGGACAGAGTGAAGCTCCCGATGAGAACAGACACAGTGCGGACAGCCTTGAAGTCACTTGCATACCGCGGGGGCCGGTAAGCTCCCGCCAAAGCTCCTGCATGCTCCATCTTTTGAATCTGCTGTCTATGCATGGAGGCAATCTTGAGCATGTCGCAGTAGAAGAAGACAAAGAGGAGCATGGCTGGGAAGAAGCCAGCACAGGAGAGGGTCAGCACAAACCTTGGATGAAACACAGCAAAGAAGGTGCAGGGCCCTTGGTAGGTGGTTTGCTGGAATATGGAGACTCCGAGTGGGAGGAAGCCAACAAGGTAAGACAATAACCATAGCCCAGCAATGCAGGCCCCAGCCACAAGCCCACTCATGATCTGAAAGTAGCGGAGGGGCTTTTTAATGGCAAGGTACCTGTCAAAGGCAATCAACATGACTGTGAGAACAGAGGCAGCTGCAGAAGAAGTGACAAATGCCATTCGAAGGCTGCACAGGGTCTTCTGTGTGGTCTGAGCAGAGCTGGAGAGCTGGTCTGCAACTAGGCCAGAGATAGCCACGCCGATCAAAGTGTCAGCCACAGCTAGATTCAAGGTGAAGCATAGACCAACACCATCATTCTTGTGGATTGACAGCAGCACAGCCACAGCTACTAGTGCATTAGTAGCAATGATAAGGAAGGCCAGAATAGCAAGGATCACTCCAAATGAGAAAGATGACTCCATGTCTTGATGTGGCTTGACTTCCACTTACCAAGGCATGCTGGCTTTCCAGCTCAAATTCTCATGGCTCAGATGAGGAGGATCTGTGGGCTCAGAGCCATAACACAATTCTGGTCATCACTGGCAGTTCAGGCTGGTAGCTTGCCAATCTTTGGGATCTTGATGTCATTAAAAATCATTCACTCTCTCTCTTTTGAGTCCTCAGCCTTCTGCCTCTCCAGCTTTCTGAAAGCAGCAATCCCGGTGCAGACCTCCCCCTGAGCCCTGAGATAGTCCCTCCCCCTCCAACAACCAAGTTACTAGACAACTACCAAGTACCTGGCACATGCTGTCTCTCCAGACCCTCTCCCTTCATTGATGCTTCAAAGGCTTTGGAGGGATGGGTGCATTCATCAGTTCTCTTCTCTGACAGGAGATATAATTGACTCTAATCACACTTTTTCTTCCTCCATAGCTTGTTATTAAATTTCCACTTCTTTTATTCCTAAGGCTCAAGTGCCAGCTTAATAACTAATCTCAGCTTAATTAAGCATTTGCTTAATAAATAATTCTCAGTTACTATTATGACTGCCTTTAATCAAGCAAGATGATCATAATCAGTTGAAGTGGGCTGATTGCTGTTTGAGGGGCCCAGCATCCTTTCAGGAGTGTTACCACACTTTGAAACTGTTTCTTATCTTTTGCTTTCTAGTACCTCAGATGCTAATTCATTCAAATAGAGCATGCTGTTTCCATGTATCTTGCTTCTTGGAACTCAATTCGTTGAGAACTCAGGACAGGAAATAGAAGGCAAAGAATTGTTAATATTGTCATTCGGTTTAGAACAGAGCCCATTCCCCATCTCAAGCTGCTGTCTCTTTGGTCTATTCATTGGGAACTGTTTCACACCATGGCAGACTGAGTAGTGACTAGAAGGTTTGCCTTTCTTCATCCTGTAGGTCTGAGTTTATCTGTGAAAATCAAGGTGGGCTTCATTCAATAAAGAGTATGCTCAATTTTTTTAAAGTAAGACTCATTTATTTTTTTTTTGAGAGAGAGAGAGAGAGAGAGAGAGAGAGAGAGAGAGAGAGAGAATTTTAATATTTATTTTTTAGTTTTGGGCGGACACAATATTTTTTTGTTTGTATGTGGTGCTGAGGATCGAACCCGGGCCGCACGCATGCCAGGCGAGCGCACTACCGCTTGAGCCACATCCCCAGCCCGAGTATGCTCAATTTTTTTTTAAGAGAGGGAGAGAGAGAGAGAGAGAGAGAGAGAGAGAGAGAGAGAGGAGAGAGAGAATTTTAATATTTATTTTTTAGTTCTCGGCGGACACAACATCTTTGTATGTGGTGCTGAGGATCGAACCCGGGCCGCACGCACGCCAGGCGAGCGCGTTACCGCTTGAGCCACATCCCCAGCCCCTATGCTCAATTTTTGATAGTGGAATTTTCCAGGGGAAAAGCTTGTGGGGATTAGGCCAAAGGGCAGCAGTGTTGCTGAAGCAGGTGAGATGGGTGCAGGGAAGGTGGCTGTGAAAGTGACTCCAATTTAGGTTGTATATTCATTTGCTTGGGTACATTTGAACTAACCTTTTGCCTGCTACTCTCATCTTGGATACCAAGAAGAGAGGGGTGGGGATAAGAGTGGTTAGAAGCTTATTTACTCAATTCAGGTGAGAGCACAAATGGGAAAGGTTAGTGTTTTAAGTGAGAGAGTGGAGAGCAAGGTACAGAGGTGGAGGCAAATATTATATTCCGGGATGTTTGACAGTCTGAAAGGGCCTTTGGTGACGTCTGTTCTACAAAGGCTCAGAAAAGCTGTGTCATGAGAACTTGATATTCCATTTGCCAGTGTGGTAACAGTTCTTATTCTTTTGGTACATGCATTTAGGAGGTTGATTTCAGTGCTGATGAGCTTTCTCCAGATCCCAACTGTGCTCCAATCTTATAAATACAAATTGAGTTTTGGATTTGGAACATACTTAATACAGTATGTTTTTTCTTTGACTTCCAAAAATAAATAAGTAAATTTTATTTAAAAAACAAAAAACAAGGGGCTGGGGATGTGGCTCAAGTGGTAGCGCGCTCGCCTGGCATGCGTGCGGCCTGGGTTCGATCCTCAGCACCACATACAAACAAAGATGTTGTGTCTGCTGTAAACTAAAAAATAAATATTAAAAAATTCTCTCTCTCTCTCTCTTTAAAAAAAAAAAAAACAAAACAAAAAAACAAGAGACTCCTCCAGCACCAAGCAGCATGAAGTACTCATGACTCATGGCTATCTATGAGGAGGTGAGCATGTTGGGCTTCCAGGAGTTCAATCAGGCTGTGGAGTAGCACCTTGGCAAAACCATTTTCACTTATTACTTTAGGGGTAATAAGGACACCAAAGGGAAAAGCTGGTGTCCAAACTGCATGCAGGTGGAACCAGTTGTTTGAGGGGGAAGATTCAAATAATAACTTCAGAAAACAACTGAAAGTAACTGCAGTGTCTACACTAATTAAATATGGAATGCCTCAAAAACTTGTAGAATCTGAGTGTCTTTAGACTAATCTTGTAGAGATGCTGTTCTCTGAAGACTAAAATTTAACGATGGCAATAGTGTCTTGATTTCCTAGTTTGCTCTAATATAAAAGAAACTACATATTTGAATTCATTTTGGCAATAAGTAAATGATCATGTGAAAATTATGTTATATTTAAATAATAAAGAATGCTTTTTAAAATAAAAATAACAAATTTGGGGGGCCTATCCTCAAGTTTCAGATATAGTAGGTCTGGGGTGGGTCCATGAAACTGAATTCCTAACATATTTCTATCTTCTGTTGCTGCTGGCTAAGGGACCACACTTTGAGAACCACTGCTCTGATGCCATGGTTCTTAACCTTGGCTGTGCATTAGGATCACTTGACAGCTCCAAAGCATACTGTTTAGGTCACATAGTAAGAAATTCCAATATAAATTTGTCTGGGGTGTGACCTGTGCATCTGGAGTTTTATCAGGCAATTCTGATATTTAGTTGGGGATAAGAACCACTGTCCAGTAGCAAAAACACAGACTCTGGGATCAAAATGCCTTGGGTCCATATCTCTGTGAATTTGGTTGGGCAGATGAGTTTATCTTTCTGATATTCCTTTGGTTTTCTCATGTGTATTGTGGGAATAATAATACCTAAATAACAGGATTGAGGATGGCAAAATAAAGTATCATGAATGTGACAAGGCTTCATAAACTGTAGAATGTTATACAGATATTATTACTATCTTTAGCCTTTGTTAACCAAGTTAATATACTGTTAATCAAAGTGTACCTGAATGTTAATCAAAATATTAATCAAAGTGTATATTAGTGATTACACAATCAAATCATGTACCAGAAGCAGTGGTATGACAGGAGAGCTTCGTACAAATGTAGAAACTCAGGCCTTTAACAAGATCTGAAGCAGATTCTGAGTTTTAACAAGATCTTCAAATGATCTGTGCACACACTAAAGTTGTCCTTGCTCTCTCCTATTTGCAGGTTCCTGCTTATATTAGTTCCCTTTTGCTGCTGTAACACACTACCACAAACTTAATGGCTTATAACAACACAAATATATTATCTTACTCTTCTCAAGGGCAGAAGTCCAAAATGGGCCTTAGAGGGCTAAAATCAAGGCATCAGCAGGAATGTGTTCCTTTAGGAGGCACTAGGGGATGATCTGTGTCCTTGCCTTTTTTAGCTTCTAGAAGCTGCCCACATTCCTTGGCTCTTGGACACATCACTCAGAGCTCTGTTTCCATAGTTAATCTCCTTCTCTGACTGACCCCTCTCAATTCTCTTTGTAAGGAATTCTGTGATTACATTGGACCTGCCTGGAAAAACCAGGATAACCTTCTCATGTCACGATCTTTAATTTAGTTGTACCTACAAAGACTCTTTTGCCATGTAATGTCACATATTTTTAGGTTCCAAGGATTATAACATGGACATTTTTTGTGGGGGTATTATTCTACCCACCACATTGGTATTCTCTGCTGCCTTGATCTCTTTCTCCTTCATCCATCTACAGATGTTCTCTCAGTCTGCCCTTCTTTGCTCATACCCTAAATCTTTTCTTTTCTTTCAGCCATTAAAATGTTCCTGTTTTCTGTTTTGTCTTTTTAGAAACCCACAAACTGATTCAAATTAATCTAGGCAGTCTTGAATGATCTATCATTGGACATATGCAAGCAGAAGCTGAATGCCCATCTGTCAGGAGGGTTTTAGAATTTCTACAGCAGTGCAAAACATTGTTATTACCATTGATTTGTCTTTTAGTCCCTAAACAACCTCCTTTGAAGTTCCGTGGCAAGCATTCCTCTCTCTGATCTTACTCCCATCTTTCTTACCTACCCTGACCTCTGTGTTCCCTTTGTTTTTCTCGCTTCCTTTCCAACACCAACACAAGATCTTAGCTGTGTGTCCTAGGGGTATGTCCATACTGTGAGGTCAAGGCCATAGGGAATGTGGCTGTTCCTGGGAGGTTGGTGGCTGATCCTTACAGTCCTGCCTCATTGGAGTAGGCTAGGGGTTCTTGGGATCTTCAGAGTGAAACATCTACAAGACAAACAAAAGGGTTGAGAATGATAAGAAAGGTAGAAGAGTAGAGAGATTATTTTCTGGTCAAACTATCTCACTATGAGTGCATTAAAGGTTACTAATCATGGGTGTCACAAAGGATATATCAGGGCACATCAACCACCCTGAGGGCATGGGACCCAGGAGCAGAGATTTCAGCAGGAAAGGTAGTGGGGGAGAAGGCAGGTTTCAACATGAGAGCCCACTATCAGAGCCAGTCCCCTGGAGGGAAGCTCTAGAAATGTACCCAGGATAAGCCACACCTGATTCCTTGTGGTACATAGGGCAGCTGTCTGCCTGCAATAATTTAGCTGTATCTTGCCCATATCTCTTCCTGAATCGCTGGGCTGGTATATACATGACTATGAAATGTCATGCAGCAGTATGAAAAGATTGGGAAAGGCTTATATCTACTGACATAGACTTCCAAGACATATTATTGATTGACAAATTAGGTCACAAATAAATATATAGAGCTTGGGTCCACTTATGAAAAAAACTCTCCAACTCCAAATATACACATGTATAAATGCCTAGAATGCATAGGAAGGGAAATTGTTAACAAAGAGGAAGTAACTGAGGAGTGGGATTGGTAGGAAATGAAGAGTCATGATTTACTT